CTGCATGCTAGGCCTGCAGACTGTTTCTATCATGCATTGTTTCAGGCTGTAGTATTTTAAGAATATTTTCATAGTATTTTTGAGTAAACTTCCAAACATAAACATGTGTACGAGCCTACTATTTAGATAAAGTACATTCCTACTTCAGTATAAAGCATTATGAAAAGAACCTTATGTGTTCTTATCCTTGCAACCACTGAATTGTCATTTCACTAGGCTTGTGAGAAGGCCTTAAAAGTGAAAAGTAGCCTTGGAAAGGATTGGAGGGGTTTTTGTTGGGTTGGTTGGGTTTTTTTGTTTTGTTTTGTTTAAAGAAAGACTTCTAGAGTTTGCTGATGGGCAGAAACAAGGCAGAATACTGCCTTACCCACACTCATCTACAATACTAATGTTTGTTCTAAAACACGTTTTCTGCAGCTGGAGTGAGTATAAAGAAGTAAACTTAGAGCCCCCACTTTTGTTATTTATTTTCAACTGTTCAATAAACTTCTAAGTTTTTAAGTTTTCCATGGAGATGCTGTAGATGTTTGTATTTGTGGCAACATTCCCCCCAACACGACTTCGCTTATAGCTACACAGTCAGGTTGGGTTTAAACCACAGGAGCACTCAATGTAAGCTAAGCAGTACATTGCAAGCAGGAGACTCAAATCCTCACACCTGGCTTAAGGAATTTAGGGCTAGATTGGAACAGCTGATCTGGGCACCAGAAGCAGGTCTGGGTGGATAAGTGCCTCAATCCAGAACTGTGATTCACCCAATAACTATTGCCTTGTTCAGTAGGTATTTGGGCCCTGTGCAAATGTCTGAAAGTGCAGGTGCCTTCATAGACACACATCTTGCTCCTACTTCAACCTCATTGTAGTGCAGGAACAAAACTGCCTTTGACCTTCCAGGCACTGCAGGAGAGTGACTGTCAGTGTGGGGCTGGGAGCATCCTCCCAGATATACATCTCTGACAGACACCTCTCCAAGACAGGGTGAGAAGAGTCAGGAGACGGAAGTGAGGTGGTTGTATCTATTTTTGATGTAACAGCCTGGAGTGTAAAACCTGGGTTTTGATCAAGAATCCTGGCTAGCTGGGTGTCAGCTGTGAGAGACTGTTATGAGGGTGTTGAGAGTTGGAAGCAGAATCCACAGAGAACTTCGCCCTCAGCTGCAGACTTTAGCATTTCCTCAAGGACCAGATTATTTTCTCAGCACCTTTTCCTAGTGACACAGAGCGAGTGTTAGCTACAGAAACAGCAACAGCTTCCCTGCTTCTTTCTCCCTTAGCATAGGGGAGGAAAAGGGGGTGAGTGGGATAGAAGGATGGAGACAAGCAGCTGAAGAACCACACTTCATCACTGGGCAGAGGGAAGCAGGCTGAGGGGTGTGGCATGGCAGATGTCATATGTTCTTGTCTCTGTCATATTTTGAAAAGGAGGTAGAAATGCAGGGGAACTGAAGAGCATCTGTTCCCTTGTGCACAGTGGAAATGGAGCAAGGCTAATGCCAAGTGCTGCTACTGTTCTCTCTGGTAACTCTGGGCAGCTCACCCTGACTGGTTTCTAGCAGATCAGCTTCATATTAGTTGGGGAGTCCTAAGCATTGTTTTGCTCTCAGAAATTTCTAAGAATGAACCTTGATCAGCTCTTAGCAAATTAAAAAAAAAAAAAAAAAAAGATACTGAGAGCCTGACAAGAGAGTTACTGGCCCCTGGATCCCAAATAGCATATCAAACTCTGGAAGGTAGCTTAGCATTCCTTTCCTAGTGAATGTATATGTGGATGTAGGATTTTCTGTCAGGTTTCCCTCCTCTTCATGTCTCCTCTCCATATGGTGTGCCTAGGAATTTTACAGAGTTCAGACTTTACCCATGGGACCCATGTTCTTCTCTGGTCCTGCCCTTTGAGCTTATTTTCTTTGTTAATTCTGCATGCAAACGTGCTTTCTGTAGGTAGTACATTGATAATATTTTTTTAACATACTCTTTAAAGGCATAGGTTTTGTCAAATTGTAATAACCACTGTTGTTGGGGCATAAAGTATTTCTTTTTTGTGTATTTTTACAGAACACTGTCCATCTTCTCTTAGAATTTAATTTACTGTAGGCAAGGAGAAACGTGTTGGCCATTGTGTTGTTTTTGTTTTGTTCTTAAAGAGAGGACAGATACCCAGTTAAACTCAGCAGGGTCTGGAAACAGACTGGAAATCTAAAAGGGAAACCTGAATACAAGCAGTCTTGATGAATTAGTCATGTACGAACTGGAAAGCTGACTGCTGTGAAAGCATTCCTTTCTTTAATCAAAAAGCTACTGCCAGTAGGAGCACTTCCTTTGTGCCCTGCTGCTAGTTTATTGAGTCTCTAGTTGAGGATGCTGGTAAGTACATACTGGGAAATGGATAAATCTGGGCTTTTTTCCTTTGCTCCTGAAAATCCATCCCAGGCCTGCTAACTTGCACCTTTTTTCCTGCACCTCCACGGGTGCCAGCTGCTGGATTCACCATTCATTCAATACCTCTCCCCACCCATTTTTTAAACACATTTATTCACATCTGGGGCAGTCTTCCAGGGGCTAAATGACTTTTGATCCTTCTCTTGGCTTCAGTGTTTGGCAGTGCCAGGGGTGTATTTGCTGAAATAAGGAAGGGCAAGGAAGTATTTCTGCTCTTTCAAAAACAGAATATGATAAATCTCAGTTCAGTATGACTCCTGTGATATAAGTACCACACGTGAAGAAAGCATCTAATCATTTGACTGCTTCTTCATGAGAACAGTGAGGACTTTTCCCTGCTTCTCCAGCAAAGGTAGAAAATGCCACTCAGGGCAGCTCATGGTGTGCTGTGGAAAAGGGAATGACCGTGCTAAATTGCAGCCCCTGTTCAGTCCTGCCAAGGGGCCAAGTCAGTGATTCTGTCCTGGAGAGTTCCCAGGAAAAGGCAAGAGTGTTGGTTCACATTCCTGAGAGTGAAAGCTGGTGAATAGATGACTTGGGCTCCTTAAATGCCTCTATCCACCTTCCTCTCCTCTCAGTTCCAGCCAGGGTGTTTACAACCCATCAGCTTTTATTTCTCCATCCTGGCAGTGCAGTAATAGCATGGACATATATGAGAATTCACAGGTTGTTGTTTTCTCTTTTTTAAGAGAAGGGTGCCTGGCAAATTAAGCAGCTCTATAAGAGCAAGGTTAGATCTGTTCCCCTTTCACTGGAGTTTTGAATTTGTTCTATATTACCCTCTTCATTTCTGGAATGACTCTGTTTTTCAAAGTGGCTTATGACTACCACAAATGTATATTGTTTCCATTGTGCTAAAAGACTAGAAGTACAATAGAAACCATTTCCATATTTACATTTTAGTCCAGTGTCCCTTGTTAAACTGCATCAAAATCTGTCCATTGAATTTTCTTGACATCTTTATCAAAGAACTGCCTTTTGCAAGGAGAGGATTTTTTTTTCCACATGGAAGTGAAGTTCAATCAATTGCCTCAGTGAGTTAAGGGTTATAATGAGCAGATTACAAGTAGGCTAAATATGAGCTCTGGCGCCACTGTCATTAGAGTGGCCCCAGCCTGTTCAGGCTGCTACTAAGTGTTCTGAAGAGCAAGTGTGTATACACTTAGTAATAGATATGCCCCTGATTTCAATTGATCAGTAAAGTAGGAAGGAATGACCCTTTTTGCAACCTGGTAATGACAAAGAGCAGTCAGGAGGATAGTGGGACACACATCCACTATGAAAGGTCAGACTATCTTGTGGAAATGCTCTTGATCTATTGACAAAATAGCTTGGGCTTCATTTGTTCTTTGTTCCAAGACAGACACTGTTATGCCAGGCAATAAACAGAAATCTACTGAGGGGCAGCATCTCTCCCAAGGGTTTCCGAGACAGTTACCATTTTGGCCAACAACCCTTATTGCCTCATACATATAGCATTTCTCACACACTCTCAAACAAATGAGATCAGTGTCATTATCTCTGTCATTAACCTTTAGCAAGGGGAAAAGGGGTGTTTTGACTCATCCAGGGTCAAGTTGAAGGCCATGATCAAGCAGCAGCCAGAATCTAGCATTTGGCTCATTGAACATTTCCTTTCAGATGGGCAACTTAGCATCACCCACCAACTTTGACCCCTGGTGGAGAAGAAAAGCTGCAGTAATTTCCCATTATTGTTCACAATGGACACCTGACCTACTAAAAAAAAAAAAAATCCAACAAGAGAGAGAGAAACTTGCATAAAACCTGTTGGCCCAGTCCTGCACAGCAGTTTGGCTGCCACAAAGCCAGTGTACCAATACGTCGAGTGTGGATCTCTAGCCTGAGGTCCCAGATCTCTAGCCTGGGTGGATCCCAGTGGTTCTGGGATGCAGCTAGCCACCTTTCAGACAGCCCACATGTGGGTGAGTGCTGGACCTTGGCCTCTGAGAAAGACAGTGACAATGTGTTAGTGGGATATGCCTTCCCAGGTCTCTGCGCTGCCATATCTCAGACACACGGCCAGGGGGCAGGAGGTTTTTGTTAGGCAGTTTGGACAGGACACAGCTTCTGTGACTGTTCCACAAGCACTGCCCAGTGAGCACATTCACGAGTTCCCTTACAGTTCTCATTGCTCCCTTCTTGCACCTTGGCGTAGGTTCAAGACATCACTGGTTTGCAGCAGTGCCCTTTCAGCCCTAGATCATAGAATGAGCACTTCCTCCTTTGCCATTCCAGTCTGTTTCACTAACACTTCAAATATGTTAAAACCCTCTAAGCACTCAGCTGAACACCCACAAAGCCTCTGACTTTGTGATATCATGCCTTTTCCTCCTTCAATCTACCTCTGCAATTATTTCTCACAGGAATGTCTCATTTGTTGTTTGGCTTTTTTATTCACTTAGGATCTAGCAAGAACGTACTCAGTTATTTTAAGCTTCTTCAGGAACAAACCATTATCTCTAGTCAGCCTAAGACTGGAGCCTGTGTTTCACCTGGTTTGTTATAAGATGCTGAAATCCCTCCCCGTCGTCATGGGTGAACTGTGCGTAGTACAACCTGCCTAGATACATAAATGACCTCAGGCACCGGAGTACATGATTCATCACATCCAAGAGAAGTGGGATGGGATGTTGTTCCCACAATGCAGGTGAGAACAGCAGAGGAGCTGAGACAGAGGCAAGGAAAATGTCTTTGCAAAGGAATCATGCAAAGGAGTTCTCACAAAACTGTTTTAGACATCAGTTACTCGTACCTCAAGCAAATACCCTAAGCAGTGGAGAAGTCACAGAACTGGAGTCACTGCCTCAACTCTCAAGACTATTTATTCCATGCTGCTGAAGAAGATGATGGCTGGCACAAGGCTTATGCTCTGTCTGGTCTCTTTCTGATACTCTGCAGTTTGCTGAAGATTGGCATGTGGTTTACCCTGGCAAAACCCTTTGCTCAGAATAAATGTTGACATTGAGTAGTAGGATGTGGGACTGGAAAGAAACAATTCTGGTATAGCCCTGAGTCTTGGGGACTTGAAAAAGCTGGAGCACAACTGCCATTACCTCACTGCCAGAAACAGAATGCCTTACGAGGAAATGGGAACTTGAACGTGACTGCAAGTGCCAAAACAACTCAGGGACACGCAGCAGTGGCTGGAAATAGATGGTATGTAAAGGGTGCATAATTTGAAGAAAAGCTGTTTTCCTCACAGGATAAGGGGATCTGGTGGCCTCTGTCCCCTAAACAGTGTTTTGGACTGCCAGTCCAGGGTGGCTGTTTTCTACCTCTGCGGAGTGGGAGGTGATACAAAATAACTTTCATCTTGAAAGCCCTTTGTGACTTTTTTTTTTTTTTTTTTTTTTTGAGGAAGGGGCAAGCATCTGGAAACAGGAAGTATAAGATGAAACATGGCCACTCAACTAAATTGACAGTGGCCACCCAGGTCTGGGCACAAAATGAATGGCTCCATGCTGATACTTCAAATTCAGAGACTGTCTGAAAAGGTTAATTCTCAAAGTACCAGCTGAGGAAAGGGCCCACAGTCCTTCTGTTATAGGCATTTGGATGTAATGAGGCAGTAAATTTGGCTATGTTTGGCAGTCATATGTGCTGTCAAGGCTTTCTTTATTCATGTGGTCAATAGAGACATGGGAGAAATTGTCAACAACTTTGAAGGCTTCTCCAGAGAGATTACCAGCAACAGGGAACTCTGCTGAAAGACACATTTTAGGGTGCAGTTGTGAAAAGGATTGTAACAAACATGTAAGTTGTGAATTTTCACAAAATAATTCCATTTGCATTCTTAGAAATTGGGAACACGGGGTTCTCAGACAAGCCAGTGTGAAAGTGCCCAGGCAGAATTCTAGGGAGGTATTTTATACAAGTTGCACATTTCTGCACCTTCTCTTTTTTTGTAATTTTTAACCAATATTAATTGGTTTGGGGTTTTTTCCCCAGTATCAGTGACTTTTCCCCTTACTGTGTTATCAACAGTGCAGTCTTTCAAACTGTGGGGAACAAAATATCATTTAACAGAAGCTGAGTATCAAACCACTGTGGAGGACAGTGAGGGCTCTACATCTTTTTGTTCAGTAGACTGGACCAGAGAAGGGCACTGTCCATTTGGCTGTAGCTGCTGTCCTGAAAGTTCTCTGGGCTAAACAAGAGGGAAAGGTGATGCCCATGGGACCTCAATGTAAGAATGCTCATTAACTCAGAGAGATCCTGGTTGCCCTCATTTGCATGTGGTCTTGATCTTGAAATAATCTGTACATACGATTGGCATTAAAATATCAAATAAAATGCAGTCATTGCTGAGTCCTTGGAGACTGCCCATGCTTCATTTTTGCAGGCTGGAAAATTGAGGCCACTGCACAGTGCTTAGTGGTAGAATTGGTTGGAACATTACAGAGTAACTTTGTGTAGTTCTAGCATTTCTGGAAGAAAATATTTTTGCTGAGTCCTGTTTCTTTGTATACCCTTCTCTTGATTTCATCTTTCTTACTCACATATTTTAATTTGAGATTTTCACCTTTTAGGCCCTTCTCTGCTGAATATACTGTTGATCTGGGAACCAAACCTTGCATACTTAACATGTTACTATTTATTAAAAATAGCCTTTTAGGCAGTGATGTGCCATAAAGACAGCCTGGTTAGAAAGGCGAATTAGTGAACAAAAGATATATGTCTGCTCAAAAAAAGACTGACATAGAAAGAGCTCCCTGGAATTGCGAGCTGGGGGACCAGCCCTGTGAACTAGTGAAAAACACCCTTGAAAAGGGCAGCTGGCCTCTTTGAAGTGCAGCTGAGGTACCTAGAAACCAGAAACATCCACAGATACCACTGATAAGCACCAAACAATGAGCCTGTAACAAGAATTTGTCACATGAAGGTGGAAAACAGTCTGAAAAAAATAATAGCTCTGAAGGAACAGATAACAGGATCCCTAACTGCCTGTGAAAAATAGAAATTAAACAGGATCTGTTGGCTGATCAATGTCCCACTCCTTTTTATGACTATGTGCTATTAAAACACCTTATGTTTATCCAAAATTGAGCCTGAGAACTTCTTGGTTGAATCCCACACAACCTTCCTATAAGCATTTGGGCTCTCCCCAGGGACAGCTGGCTGAAAAAGAGTCTGTGATATGGATCATTTTGAAAATGGGACTCTACCAGTTCTCTTACTGTCTAGGTCTGTCCTCCTCTCTGTCAGGAAGGATTGGTCCCCCACGTTGTTCCCACCTTTTGAGATCGTTTTGCTGCTTTTGAACTCTGTCTCATTCACTTCATATCAATTGCATAAATAATAATATAAGTAATCATAAAAAATTTCTGCTGTTGTATTATTGATAAATTTGCTTCATTTGTGATAAACAGAAATCTAAAATAGTATATATAATATACTATATATCATATATAATAGATAATATTGGCTGCTGCTGTCATTGGTTGTACCACAGTACTGATTTATGTAATTATTAATTGATACCATGCTCTTGTTTGATAATATGTGTTATTGATGGCAGATATAAATTTGTAATAACTTGATATATATTCATTCATTTTATTAACCATAGATATGTTTTCTAGGGGCAATATTTGTCATATTTGTGGTAATCTGTAATAAAGGAAAGAAATTTAGTGGGCAAAGCTTTCATGTCCTCATGATTTACAGATTCCCACAAACGCACAGTCATTATCTCTCCACACTTTTTTAATAATCACTCTCCCAATACTGCTTCCATAATGAAACCAGGTTAAGAAGGATACTGAATCCTTAATTATTTTCAGGAGAAAGTGTCAAATGTTCTTGCTTGGTGTTGAGAACCAATTTGCTTTGGTGTCAGGAATTAACTTTGCGCGCCAAATGTAAATGTTACTTGCATTTTGTGTCATTTCATCATGAAGAAAAAATCATCTGTGTGTTATGGCATCACTGTGGCTTCAGTTATTTAATTTGTTTTGTTTTCTAGTTTATGTGAAAGTTGGAGGTTGACATGGTCAGAAAGTCTAAAGGAACTGCGCCCCTTTAGAAGAGTACATGTTTCACCTGGCACCCAAACTAAAATGGTCTTACAGAAGCTGTGTCACTGGCAGGGAGTGCTGATTTCTGCACAGAGAAGTCCTTCCCTCCCAATATACCCTCTTCCAATGTCTGATCTCGAGCAGAGATGCAAACCAGCCCCTTTCCTGGGGAGACGCTACAGCCTGTCTTTGCCCTCTCTTGCGTCGCAGCCCGTGAGGGCTGATGTCTGCAGCTACAGGAAGCTGAGTACTTAAAGAATGTGCTTTAATCTGTAGGTCCTTGTTTAGGGTTTGGACAAGAAGCTGCTTTTTTCTAAGTCTGGATAATTGGGAGTTTGTTTTCATTTTTTTAATGGCTGGGCACTTTTTCACAAAAACAACTTCGCACTGAAAACTACAAACTTGGTAATTTAATTGCCTGTGCTACCATGGTCTGCTAGTAAACGCTTGGCCTTCATGTGTTGATCTGTTTGCTGAAGTGTTCAGTCGTTCTGGGGGGGAACTGCCTTCAGTATTAAGATCTAAAAGATCCTGTTCTAAAATAACTAGCTATTTCCTTTTCTGAGAGCAGGAGGTATGAGAATAGGGGTGCTTCTCTGGTTTAATTTGACAGCTAAAATAGTGTGACTTGGCTTTCCTGTTTAATCTTTTACTCTTGCTTGGATAGAGTTTAAAAAGAAGCTGAAAAGGGCTTTTTATCAACTACTCACAGCCATGAAATTAGGCAAACTCACATTTGGCAGTGCAACACAAGCTGATGAGGGAAGGGGGTGTGAAGGTTTAGAATATCTGCTGTTTCACTCCCTGCTTGCTTCAGAAAAATGGGGAAAAGATTGACAGCTAATACCCAACTGAGTAGCATTACTCAATCTTTTCTTCATCATACTGTTTTATCATGCTATTGGCTTTTTTTTTATTTTACATGTCAAGCTTGAAGGAGGCTGCCAGCATTTGCTATTCTGCATGGAATACAGATAGATTACTGGTGTGCTACCAGAGGAGGAAGCCTGTGGTAAGTCATCTTTCCTTCAAAGCTGGAGTTTTGGTGCCCTCCATTTTCCCAATCCTGGACTTGTCTCATCAGTTTTGATGGGAGTAACTCTGTCAGGAGCACACCATCAGCCTGAGAGGCTGACAAGCTGGAGGAACAATGGTAATGATGAAACCTGGAGTGTGAGGAGAATTTGATCCAATGTGTAATTTGATATTCATTCTTGTTCCCCTACAGAAATATTCCAAAATGGTTTGCTCGGGAAAAAAAGAAAGGTGTGATCTTAAATACATCTGTACCTGATGGAAACAGTTTCTTTGCATCTCTCAGAGAGTGGGAAGGGACTGTGTGAGACAAAGCCTGTTGTTTGCCAGCATCTTCTTGTGTTTCCCAGGGGTGCAATGTCAAACATCAGGTTTGTGCCACAGTGGGGATGTTTTGCCATGTGACTTGCATTGGGTTAGCAAAGAGCTTGTGCTGATCTTAGCTTCTTCCAAGGATTTATCTGCTTTGCAGTTCTTTTGCAAAAAAATAGCTAGGGAGAAAAGGGAAGGGCTTATTTGGCCAAATTGATCTATTTGATTAAAATGCCAGGTTTTGGGAAAAAATAAAGAAGTAAAAACATCTCCAATCCTTCAGTTTTAGCAAATAACGTTCTTTGATGCATTATTTAACAAAATAATATGCTGTTGACTAAAATACAGCCTGACTTATAATTATTCTTATCTGCTTCAGAGCAGAAAATGTTAAAGTACAGGTATCTAGCTTATTCAGGATCCTATTCCTGGCTAGAACCAGATCAGCAGTTAAAACAGGCTTGAATGTTCAATTTTACAGCCATAAGGTTTTAAATAGTATGTGAAGTGGGAAATGCTAACAGATGACGATCAATTCTCACTGCTTGCTCCTAAACACTTACAAGTTTTGCTGGACTGACTGAAAATCTATCATTACCATTTGGGGAGGTAAAAAAGTAGGCTTAATAGCATTTCAGTGATTTTCCCAGTTAGGCAGAGTGTTTATGAATGAAGATATATCCATGGAACTAACATAGAAATGGAAATTTCTTTGTTGGTATATTGTGTGTAACAGTGAATTTGCATGGCTACAGCTGTTGTTGGTTTATGGAAGGAGCTTATGTACATAGGGATTCTCAGGGGAGTGCTACAAAAGTATGATCATTAGGAGTGTTAATGAAAGTATATAAAATCCATGCTTGGACGGACACATTGAGAAGCACAGTAACTTCATGGATGAGAAATGAGGATATCTTCTTCAGAGTCAACATGAACCTCAAAATTTGATAAATGTTGGTTCAATCTAGAAATTCTGGTTGCCTTCTCTTTGAGGGATACTTTGGAACTGTCAGCAGCAGAGGGCCCTTGGCTTCCTTCATAAACAGCATCCCTATTGCCAGAGAGAGCTGCATGTGCTTGACTCCCTGTCTCAGTTCATTGGTGTCAGATCAAGTTAATATAGCGGGTATTTTTCCTTCATAAAATATACACCTTGGTATACCTAGAAATACTGTTGCCAAGTTATGGATTAGAAAAATGTATTATTTGTTACAGTTAGCTGGGATGAGGAGTTTGGTTCAGCTGTATGTTACTGATATATCTGATCTCATTTTCCAATGGTTTCTTCTAGCTACTTGTGAGGAAGAAATAAAAAGCTTATTCTAATTACATGTAAATTAATATTATTCTAGATGCAGTGTGATGGAGTTATTTGGAGATGCATAATCAAGTGACCTAACTTTGCTTGCAGTTGCACACACAGGCCTTGAGAGAAGGCTGGATAATGTACAGTAAATGCTGGAATTGGGTATTCTACTTCTGTGTTTAATGCTTTGGAAGGACAAACTGGGCTTAGTCTAACTCTTGCAGGTCTGTGACACGGGCAGTGATGACTTTGCTTCTGTATCTCTCCCAGACACTCCCCCCTTCCACTGCTGCATAATGCTGCATTGCAGGAAAACAGGAGTGGTGCTTTTGGGAAAGCTGAGGGCTGATCACCATGAAGATTAACGCGCTGCCGCTGACTTACAAAACGCCATCTCCGCTTTATGGCCAGAGCAGGATGAAGCTCACTCACAAGGGAGGAGAAGTAACCAGGAAGTTCTTTCTGTAAGACACTCATGCTATAATTGTAAAATCTACTTTATGGGTTCCAGTTTATGGCCCCATTAATCATTCAGGACTGATCTATTTCATGTTCCGAGTATGCGTATATGTTCAAAGTAAAAGTGGGTGATTATTACAGGACAATATTTACAGATTGAGATCTATGCAAGAAATGATTGGCCAGAATAAAAACTGTGCATACCACTTTTTGCTACTATACTATGTTATTTTCTATTTAAAACCTTTAGATTAAATAGCTCTCACATGCATTTATTGACAAATATTGGTTTTTTCCTTCTTCAAATCCTGAATAATGATATCAACAAATGTTCATATATTTCAACAAACAGCAATATTGGATATGGCTGAAGTAGATGTATTACTATTTTAACCTGTATTTTTGTGCCAGAAATTTGAGTCTGTGGGGGAGCCCCACTACCAGGATTGTCTTCTAAAATATGTAAAGTGGCTTTTATATCCAGAGAGGCTACCAGAGTAAAGCCTGTTAATAATTTTTAATGGATATTTGGCCAAAAATAAGCTGAAAAAGAAGTTATTCAAACTAAAATATTTGAGTGAAAATGAAAAAGTAGATGGAAGTCACTCATTTTTACTTTGAAAGGTTACTTTGCTGACTGCTGTGGGTCAGATTCTTTGCCTCATATGTTCACTGAGACACTACAGCTGCTGACCTACTCTGGGTGCTGCAGTGCAGCACAAAGCTTTCATGGGATGCCATAAATCATGGAATGCTGAACCACGAACTCTGTCAATATAGAATGGCAAGGACCTGAAGAGCCTGCGGAGGAATTATGATGTAATTTTCAGATGATTCATTTTTTATAGAAAAAAAAATTCCCTTGTGTGGGAGAGAAATGCTGCTTCAAAAACTCATCTTATTTAAACTATTGCACTTTTTTTTTTTTGTCAGGAAGCTTTTCTGCTGAAAATTTCAGGCAGCCATGACCATGTTTTTAGAGTGCTTTTCTTAAATATATGCTGCCAAAGATATACTCATTCCCACAGAAGACTGCTCTACTTCCTACAGGTCCTGATCTGCTTAGTTTGAAACTAGTCTGGATACTGACATAGTCATTGCAACACTGCATAAGTATAGCCAAAACTACAATACAGACAGAACAGCAATTCCAACTTTTCATTTGCTTTCTATTTCCTGAATTTCTACCACTTCATAAAAATTTTGCAGTTTGTCAGGAAAAAATAACTCTCTAGAAACCCTCACTGTATTTAATTATTATTTTTCTTATCCCAGATGCTGAATGCAAAGCAAAACAGGGAAATAAAGGAAGCAATACAGTGGGTCACTGAACCAGCTGGGTTTAAACCCTCATTTATTAAGAAGCCAACTTTTCCAAATGAGGATATACATATCCAGATGGGACATGCAACTGTTTCAAAGCCTCGAGGTTTAATATTTTATTTCAATAATAATACAGTGACTCCAGTACTGATGTAATGTTGATACTGTTCCTTCACATATTCAGAGTTCATTTTGAACTAGTGATTCAGAATACTGTGTTTCCTACAGGATCTTAATACATATTCTGCACCTGTATTCCCTTAAGTTTAAATAAATAGCTCCTTTCTAAAAAAATGTTGAAGGACTGCAATGCTTGCATAAGGAAGGCAGCCAACATTTAGTATGAAATGGGAATGGACCTTTTTTTTTAATGTGTGGTTTCCAGTGAAATTGGAAGTTTGATTCAGAATTTGTGTTCCCAGCATGCCATACTTAGCAGCGCTGTTAAAACCCCAGATCTACTGTATGTGTATTTCTTTACTGCTGCACACACCCTGTTATATAATTCTTAACATTGCTTGTGGGAAAGAGAAAGCAGAAAAAAAATCAATAAAAAGTTTTATAACATGTATTGCATTTTCTATAAAACACATAGAAAAGAGTGTGCTGTTATTCCATCCTTTGTGCTACTGAGCAACTCCACTGGGAATTCAGAAAACCAGAAGCAAGTCTTGAATGTTTATTTCCTTGCAGGCCTTAACAGTGTTAGAAATTGGTGCAGCAACCAGAGAACATGTGAGTATATGTGTAAGTGCTTTGGGCTTTTTCCTAATTACTGTTTGCTTAATGAATCTACTGCATAACCATTGGAGCATGTGCCAAAACTCCTTTGTGTGAAGTTAAACACTAAAGCTGAAAATTACTTGGTCTCTATTTCAGCTATTTCCTACCAAGGTTGCCTTCACCTTATCTCCCTGGTTCTTTCTTCCCACATGCAATTTCTCTGAACAACCTGGAAATATCAGGGGTTTTTTTCACTATTATTATGAAAGTAATTGCTAAAATTTCATAATTCTACATCAGTGAGAAATATGAAACAATGCATCCTGTGATTGTGATTGCCCTTATGAAGGGTAGAGAAGCAAGGTACAAAGATGATGCTCTGTGGAGCAAACTGAAGGTCCATGAGACAGTCTGGATAACACCTGTGCAGAGAAATGCAGGCTGGACAATGTGGTCTCTAGAGCTGATGAAGCTGATATCCCCTGTAGCACAAGGATGATTACCCAGCTCCCATTTTCATTTTGCTCTGTGGCTTTGGTGCTGCAGCCAGTGTTTGGCTGAAGCAAAACACTGCACAGCAGTGCATGTGTACACACGACTCTGCAGTGGCTATATGAAAGAGCGGGGTTTAGAGGGGGGAGGTTCCAGGCTCCTCTAATTGCACCAGTTCTATTTGTGCTGCCCTAACTCAGCTGTAAATATCAGCATTCCAGGAAATCATGCTGTCATCCTCTCAGTGGTACCAGTGGCAGTGCCCGGGGTACAGGAGGGCTGGGGAGCCAGGAGCATGGCTGGCAGGGCAGGTCTGAGGGAACTGCCAGAACTGGGAAGGTTACCAGACAAGGTTATGCTGCCAAGACAGCTCTGAGGGCTAGCTCTGTCCCAGTGACAGGGACCAGGGTCAGACAGCCCAGGGACTGCCAGCCTGTCCATGGTGATGAAGTCAGGCCCAGCTCAGGCAGGGCTCAGCCTGTGGCTCAGGGCCCAGAGCAGCGAGGTCCATGGCTCTGCACTGTTGCCATCACAGCTGGGGTAGCTCAGGCAGGGACCATGTGGGGCCATGTCCTGAGCTGAGGTGGGTCTGAGGGCAGTGTTGGTGATGGATGGCTTTTAGTGAGGCTGGGCAAGGCCAGCAGGGTTGCTCCTGCCTGGAGCTCCCTCCCAGACAGATGTATCCTCTCACCCAACAGAGAAGGGCAGACTCTGATGGGATTCCTCTGAAGGGGAATTCAGCTGCTATGGGGTGTAGGGGACACAGAGCCAGGGCAGGGACATGAAAATGGGAAAGGGACAGGGATTGTTGGAGCCAAGCGGAGGGCTCAGGCAGACTGTAGCCCCAGAGCCTTGGCAGGCTTATGAGTGGGGATCGAAGCGGGGATCCTCAGATGGCCCCTGAAGATCATCAAGTCCCCCTTGTGAGGGGATCAGTCAGACTGAGTGTTTGGGCAAGGCCCGTGCTGGGAGGGTGTGCTGGTTTTGGCTGGGCTAGAGTTCATTTGTTCACAGTGGCTGGGAAAGGGTTGTGTTTTGGATTTGTGCTGAACACAGGGTTGATAATATAGAAATGTTTTTGTTATTGCTGAGCAGGGCTTGTGCAAAGCCAAGGCCTTTGCTGCTTTCCATACTGCCATGCTGGCAAGGGAGTTGGGTGTGCCTGGGAGTTTGGGAGGAGACACAGCTGGGAAAGGTGACCCAAAATGACCAAAGGGATATTCCAGACCATGTGGTGTCATGCTCAGCGTATAAAGGGGGGTGAAGAAGGAGGAAGGGGAATATTTGCATGGTGATGATTGTCTTTCAAATAATCATTATGTGTAATGGGGCCCTGCTCTCCTGGAGATGGCTGAACACCTGCCTGCCCATGGGAAGCAGTAAATTCATTCATTCCTTGTTTTGCTTTGTTTGTGTACACAACTTTTGCTTTCCCCATTAAACTGTCTATATCTCAAACCATTTTCCAGCTTTTTCCAATCCCAGCCCTGGCCCTGATGGGGAATGAGCCATTGGCTGCTTGGGGCTGGGTCTCTGGCTGGGGTTAAACCCCAAGAGAGGGTCAGAGCCCAGGTTTGTAGGGCCAGCTCTTGTGCAGCTGCAGGCCTGGCTCTGCACTGCTGGCTTAGGGCTTGGGCAGCCTGAGATGCCTGGCAGGCAGGATGCCATGGACTGGCAGCTGCTCCCAAGGACTGGGAGCTGTGAGGAGCCCCATGGGGGCAGCAGGGCAGAGTTCTCCCAAGCTTGTCCCACCTCCAGGGGTGGCAGGGCACAATGAGGTGGCCCCAACCTCCTCTCCCTGGGGATGGGGATGAGCAGAGGCCAGGAGTGAGGAGAACCACAGTCAGACATGGCCCAGGGTGTGTCCAGCCAGGATGGGGTGTAGTTCCATGGCCAGACATGTCCACAGCTGTAGCACAGCTGGAGGCAGGTACACTTGCCATGCCACTCAGGTAGAAACTAAGGCCCATGAGCAGAAGGTGTGAGCCCCAGGTGAGAATGGTCACAGTGAGGTCTGTCAGTGCACTCAGGGCCCTGTCTGCTCTTAGGAGGAATTTGTCTGGTACGTTTATAGCTAAAAGGTAAAACCTGTCCTTTCCCCCAAGGAAACTCATTGTTAGCATTAGAGGTAAGTCACTGCCGTCGGCTATATTTAAATACTTTTTGCATGAAATATTTTTAATGAGTCCAAAGACCAGAACAAACTGCCAGATATATCATAAATAGCAAGGTGCCAGCAGGCAAGCTGATACCTTTCAGAATACCAGTCTCCAGATTAAAGTAAATTAGTTTTTATTCCACCCATCTTTTTGCCAAGTATTGACACCAAATCTACAGAGCCAAACAATGTGAATTAACAAATTCTTGGTTCTCTGCAGCAACTGGAAACAACAGTGATGACATTAGCATAATTTTTCTGCTGCCAGTTTCTCATGCCAAGTGCTGCTATAAAAATATTTAATCTTACTTCTCACTCTCAGCTGTTGTCTACCAGTAGATAGGACACTTCGTTTGCAGAGGGGGGTGTTTTATAATGAATATCTAGTAGGATGAGTTTGAATTACCCATTAGTATAGCCCTGCTTTACAAATTAAAGGCCAGTCCTGAATTTTGGCTTTACTGGATGTTTTCTATGGCCTTTCTCTTCTTTTCACCATAGCATCTGAGAACCACATAAGCATTTAATGTATTTATCCAGAGAATTCCCATGTGAATAAGGGGAATGCAATTATCTGTACTAGAAACACGGGAAATTAATATGAGGCCTGAAATGACATAAAAACAGGAAATCTGTACACAGCTAGAAATTGAATCCTGACACTTATCCAAGTGTATCTCAGCTACAAGGCCATCTCTCATCTGGCTGGACTGGTCTCCAGGAGGAAGAATGATTTCCTACAGCAGAATCACTGCTGTTTCCCCTTTAGCTGCCTCAAAGTGAGAATAGCTGCTCATTCACATAGGCAAGCACATCCCAAAGCTGTGCAGTCCCAGGTGTGCTGAATCCTGACCCCAGAGTGCCCCTAGTTCCTGCCTGTGCACACAGTTGGGTGACCAGAGGGGTGTGAGTTGGCTCCCAAAGGAGCCTAAATGCTGAAAAGATTTTAAGGGAATGTGTGAAGCAATTATCTGGGAGAGCTGCCCAATCAGTTTGTGTGAACATTACATAGTATTTGAGACAATGTATTTGTCTCACTGCAAGCTCGGTGTGCCTTTGTGCCATGTCCATGGCCTGGAATGGAGCAGCCATTTTCACTTGGCATTTTCACTTCACTTTTACTTACAGGATTCAACATCCAGTTAAGTGGCAGTAATTTCCAAACTCAGTCCAATACAACTGTGCCTTTTGGCACACACTTATTTTTATTCAGTGTACCTCAGTTCATTGTGTCAAGTGTAGTGTTTTTGACATTGCAAGTATAAGCTGATTTTTAATACTGACAACATCCTTCAGGTTCATTCAAATTATCATGTGATCTCTCATTGAAATTTAAATTATTTGGATTTATAGAGACACACACAGGAGGGACACTGTACAAATGCTTTTGTATGAGTTGCCAGCAGATCTTATAATATGTTAATTTGGGAGTCTCCAGGTCTTAACTTTCCATTTTCTCCCTTCCACCGCCACAACAGAGTGATATTTAATATCTTCTACAAGCCAGGGCCTTGAGTTGTCTCCAAATTGACAGCTGCAGGCTGGGAAGTGTGAATGAAAGCTTGTCTGTGCGCTGATGGCCAAAAAGTTCCAGAGAAAGGCTCTGCAAAATGCAGCAGCAATGAGAAAATCTTTCTCTCCCTATCCTTCAAAGCAGTCTGATTAATTTCTTCAGCTGTCATGACTGTGATTTCTGAGCATAAGCTTGTGTGCACTGCTGTAATTTTTGTTGTTTCATGTTATGCATCATGTTATGCACGTCTCAGTGTGGCTGTCATCTCTAGTTTGGATTTGGGGGCCTCTGTCAATTAGTCCATCACTTGATCACATTTAATCATATCCAAGTACCTGAAAGGCTTGAAAATAGGTTAGTTATATAAAAAAATTCTGGTAAAAACTGACTGTGGTGATCACTCTTTTTATTTTCCTTAAAAAACATCTTGCTGCATGGTGGCCACAGCACATATTGGTGTTGTTATCCCCCAAGCTCACCTTCCTGTGGGTTGCAAAGGGAAGTTAGAAGGGTGGGTGGAACTTCTAGCAGGTGGATGTGAACTGTTTGTGGTTTTAATAAAAGCACTTGAGACCTGAGCTGCATTCCACATTCAGACACTTCACAGGTGCCAATCACTATGGTGACAAACTCACCAAGTCAGGTTCATTAGAAGACTTGATTTTGATGGCTGATCAGATGGATGTTTGTCTCATAAATTCAGCAGTTGTTTCTTTTATGACCCTTCATCCATCATAATCAGATAACTAATATTCTTTGTGGTACTGCCATACGGCAAATTTTGACATAGCATGTCAGAAATGGAGTGGGTTACAAAACTCGTCTAAGAAGGTGGAATGCAGTAGATATTTGATCAAAGTGGTAAGACATTTCATTGCTGTCTCTGAGTTGTTGAATGGCCTTTGGAAAGTGGAGAAATGATACAAGGATACAGCTCTTGAAAGTATCAAGCAATGTCCCATGTTTTGTCTAAAATAGTGCTCTGAATATGGCCTGTGGTCATAGTAGTCATCATTGCAGCATGAGCAGTGTCCATATTCTGCAAATCAAAATTCATTGAATACCTCCTGTTTAGCTCTATATATTAAAATTATTTGAATATTCATATTTTTTCATTAAAGCCCCTAGAATACTGATACCTACAAATTTCAAAATGTATTTTTATTTTTACTCACATTAAAGTGTGCTGTTGAGATGTTTTTTACATCTTTCTGATCTTTTGAGCACCATAAACCTTCTTGGTCTTCAAGGTACAAGCTTCACTCCAACTGCTATTGGTAGTAAATTGTGCTGATAAGGGAAACAGTGAAGTTGTACTTAATTCCTGTACTAAAAACTAGAAACTCTTCCAGAGCTATAGAGACTGCTCTGCTTATGTAGGCTATGTATGTCCATACACATAACTCCTCTGTAATTTATGAAGAGAAGTAATTGATTCCCATTCTGAATTCTTCTCTTAGCTAGGTATTCCTGTCCTGGATAACCACTGAGACTGCTAATTCCCACTAGAAAAGCCCTGAGGCCAGCTTTATTTCACATCCTCTCTGGCTACACTTGCTAAAATGTCCTGCAGAATCCACCTTATCTGCAGTGTTACATAAAGTGGATTCCAGCAGAAGGAACTTGACTTGCTAAGTGTAGGCAGAACTGCTAAGTGAATGTGCAGCTTAATCTGTTTCCTTGTACTTTAGAGGGCTGTAGGAATACTCAAGAATCTTTAATTTATAAAAGTGTGCACATGGTAAGAAGTGGCTGACAACCTACAGCTGGGACACGGCATGAATGGAAAGGTAACACCTGGACCATCTGAAGAAGACCAGACTAGTCTGACTTTAGAATATCAGACTAGTAGAGCTGAGATGAAGTTTATTAGGAGGAGCACATGGCAAAGCTCTCAGATGTGGTAACAAGAACGCTCTGGCTATCTGTGAGTTCAGTAATTTGAGAGAAGACCCAAGTGTGTGTTCTACTGCAGGTTGGCTACTGAGCATCCACTTAATGCAGCCTCAGAAAAGGATGAGGTTTGACCATTCCAAGCTTCTCACAGGATCTGAGCTGAAAGAGCTCAGTCTGATCATCTCTCTTCACAAATGATGCACTACACTGTATATTAAGAACCTTTCTAATAAGCAGTGGTCTCTTTAACATTTGGTGTGCTTACAACAGGAAGATTTTTTTTGTGCAATCTTCTTGTGTTGGGCTAAATGTCAGGAAAGGAGAATCATTTTTTGTGCTACAAAAAAATTGGTCTCAATATCAGTGATCAGTAGAAGGAAAATGAGCATAATGGCATATGCAAATAATTTTAATTAAAAGTATGATTTTCAAAGTTATAATGAGTTTGGTTTAAGAAAGATTCAATGGTCCTCTTATGCAGGCCCCTGAATGAAAGCACACAGATTATTAAATTCTTAGAATTATCTGAAATTGTACACTTTTCTAATATTTATCAGTTTATTGACTTTAAAATTTAACTCAAAAAATTACTATGCATTTTCCTACACGTTCAAATATGTATTGCCAATCCTATGAATATTAACCACATATCTACTCATAATTAAATTGCTGAAGAGGAATTTAATGTGTTACTGCAGAAGGTAGAAGGATAAGGAGACTTGAAAGCTGAATTCTGCTAGAATTTAATTCATGAACTCCATTCCTAAAAATACTATGATCTCTAGGTTTTACTGCTCCAGGCTGCAGAATTAGTCCATATGTTTGTGGGATCTGATTTTAAACGATGACAGACAGTCATTACTAATATTATCTGGTAACCTCTGTTTAACTGCAACTATCTTTTATTTATATCAAATTAGTAATTTGTGTAGGGTTGAGGAATAAAAAAAAAAATTGCTGCTATGAAGACATTATGCAGAGACTGCAGATCCAGCAAGGTTCCATTAAAATCTTTTGCCTTCCTGATGGTCCATCTGTGAAGACTATGGGAAGTTTGTTTTTCCTGGCCAGATGTTACCCTCCAAGACATTTTGCTTTCCAACCTTTTTTTACTACTAACTATAAAAAAACACACCAGAATTAAATATGCATCATGCCTCCCAGAAGATTTTTTTAAAAAAAGATTTATTAAACATTCATTCTTAAGAATATATGTAACAATTTCTCCCACCCTGAAGGAATTCTCAATCACACATACAAATTCTTATTTTCAGCACCAAATCAAGCATGTAAACCTGCGCTACTCATACACAGTAACTGAATGGTAACAGAAATGGACAATGGCACCTGAAACAACATGTAGAAAAGCAGCTCTCTAACAACCTAAAACTGGGTTAACATGTGCATGGTGTATCAGGAATAATCACCTGTCCTTACAACTACAGGGAGCAGCACTGAAGGCAAATCTGGTCTGTGACTAATTAACAACAAAGCAAACACCTTTTGAAGTATACAAAAGCCCCACCACTTCAGAGATTCTAAGTAGCTTAGGTACATTTCCAGGTTAATATTTAATGCTGGTTTATAGCATCAGACAGCCATCTCCATTTTAATAGGTGGATGAGGATTATAATCTTCAATCTGGAAGTCTTCTGCCTTGAAGTCACTGATATCTTTAATCTCATGAAGAATTCTGAGTTTGGGGAAAGGTCTTGGCTCCCTCTGAAGCTGAAATAAAAGCAAGCTTACTGTACAAAGCTAATACTTGAAAGCAGAGACTCTGTTCTCAATTTCAAATCAGATTACACTATGTAGGCTTTCCCTTCCCACCAAGACTTACACTAAGAAAAAAAAAAATGGAAGAAAATCCCATGACAGTTAGATAGAATCTACTTTAGTATTTTCACAGGGAGCAGTAGCTTAATTTTCAGGTGAATTCCCTGATCATCCAAATGCACTGCAAGTACTTTCAGATGGCAAATCAGTTCTGGTGGTTACAGACTATATTCCTCCAGGGGAAATTAAATTGGAGAATCTGACCCAAACATGCATCAAATATTCTACAGTTTCTCACTGCCCATCGTTAGGGTCTGAATCGATAACTACTTCTCTGGATGGTTTTGAACCATGCTAATAATGAGGACATTCAGTCCAAGCTTAATCTAATCAAATCAAACACTGATTTTATCCTATTGCAACAAATTACTTCCTGAAGAAAATGTAGCCTTTCTCAGCCAAACAGTATTACTGATTAACTCTGTGAATTTTAAGTGATCCTTTTCTGATATATTACAAAGACATTTTATTTTGTGTTGTTCGGACTAGGTGGAATAATTTTTGAAGTTAAAAGTGCAGATTCTGCTCTCTAACTTGGTTTTAGAGCAGTACACAGATGTACATTTCAATCATGCTTGTATTGTATTTCTGTTTACAACCTGAATTGAACAGATGCTAAGATATTACAGTTTTTAGGACAGAAATGAGAAAAAAAGCCATAAAAATTAATATCTGCAAAAAGGATATTTAAAATATCAAGGTAATTGATATTTTGATATTCCACTGTGGAAGATAAAAGGATAGAGTACAGAATAAATACTTACTTGGACTTTTAGAGGTTCCACATGGTTCAGATATATGTGAGCATCTCCTAAGGTGTGTATGAACTCTCCAGGCTGAAAAGAATGAAGAATACATGTGGTTTTCAAACAGTCAGGTTCCAAGAAAGCAAAACATTACAATGCTTACAGTATTGATTCTCAGCACCTGGCTAGCGTGGAATTGTCACTTCAAGGATACAGGATTGTATCCTTGAAAGCTGTGAAAGGCACAAGCTTCTCTGACTAATGCATAATTAATGGAAAATATAATGAAATTTCCACTAGCTTACCAAAAATTTTATCTTTCAAATGCTGCTATGACAGTAGCTTTGGTAAATGAATGGAGCAATAGTGATCTGCCCACTGACAGAGAAACAGGTGCAGCAGTGACATCCCAAAGCTGGCTTCAGAGCAGCTGCCTCAGCCACTACTATAAACAGCAGTGGAGGTGTCAGGCACAGGCAAGCACCCAGAGCTTACAGGTGGTGACTTACCAGCCCCTGAGCAATGGAATTTCACATGGGGAAGTTTCATCAGCTCTTTTGCTGGCCTCTGACCAATGTTGATCAGCTCCCAGATGTGTTACACTGAAAATCACCAAAGCCATGAGAGGAAGTGGCTGAGAGGAAACAGCTGGACGCAACATTAAACTTCACTTTTTTTAGTACCTTGGACTAATTTCTGTGGTTGCTGTCAAGTCTGATTCTTCCCTATTGCCCTGTTTTAAGAAGTTCCCCTTCATGTTGCTGGTGGCAGGAGGATTAGGCACTGAAGGCCTTTCTAGTATAATTTTTTACATGCCCTAAAGAAAAGGGGGTTTTCCTTGTACAAGACTGCCGCGCATTTAAGTTTCTCTGCCGAATTACAAAATACAGCTCTGAAGTCAGGGCAGGAGCTACTTGAGCACATACTCATCTACATGTAAGCATCTACAGTAAGAAATCAAAGAAATGCACAGCTGAAATTATACCTGGAAGTTAAGACAGGCAGATTATCCAAATTAGAACCCTGACAGCAACTGTTGAGCTATTGCTCACTTCTAATAAGTAATAAACATGCTACAAAATCTCATCGTTTGTATATTACTACCTCATGAGGACAAACACTCAGTTCAGATTTCTAAGACTAATGAACAAAGGTCAGTCTTGACAGATTCAAGACATGAAAGAATCTTCTGCTTAAACCGAATTTTAAAATTCTTACCTTGCTGATTCTAACTGCCCATACAAACCAGAGGCAATTCACATCAAATTCACAGGGCCCTTTTTTACACATATATCAGAAAGATTTCAAACAGTATGCTCATTCCAGTTTTTCTTGGACATGACATGAAGAGCCTCATCTTTCAGTCCCTCCTTTCTCAGACAAGAACAAATGAAAATATTAAATAGCCTACCTTCAGCCCTGTGACATGGGCAATCATGTACGTGAGCAGTGAATAGCTGGCAATATTAAAAGGCACTCCTAGTCCCATGTCTCCAGACCTCTGATAGAGCTGGCAAGACAATTCACCATTTAGAACATAGAACTGGCAAAGGGCATGGCATGGAGGCAAAGCCATCAGTGAGATATCTAGGAATTGAGATACAGAAGGTGGGGAGGGGAGAAAACAGTAACAGCATTAGTATGTTATAAATGTAGAAGATGCAAAACTTAAACAAGCATGTAATGAGATACAGTAGAGAGCCAACTGCACTGTCATTCTGTTGCTTTTTCTCTTGTTTATGAGCACTTGCTGCCCAAGCAATTAAGTCCAGGTCATGACAAGCTGTCTCCTGGGCTGTATGACCAGAAAGTCATAAACAGATATTCCACAGAACAGACTTATGCCATAATGTTGCACAGCAGTTTCTTTCTACTCACCTTGGTGAGACAGCTGAATTCCCTAAAGGAAGACATTAAGACTAAAATTAAGTATATACCCTAAAGCAAATTCCAACTGCTTCATCTTACTCTCTTCCAACTGCAATGTGTTTGTTGAGATATAAAAGTAATGATACTTTAAAAAAAAATCAGAAACCACAAGATCTGTGTGTTTTTCTACGCTTAAAAAGTGCAGAGAGTAAAATTACAGCTTGACAAAGAAAACTTTCACCAGATATTTTCTGAGGATATTTAGCCTTGAAAATAAGAGCAATAGCATGTGGCATACCCTTTCAGACAACAGTGGAAAATGCTGTGTGATTTTTTTGGAGCACAAGTCTATCACTGGTGAAAGTTAAACATTCACTTGTAGTAGCTCTTGTTTAGAAGTCTCTACAGAGTGAATAGATATCTATGTATAAATAGACCCTATCATTTGTGTGATACAGGTTCATCATATGATCCCATGTTCAAGGAGAAAAGATTACAACACAAATAATATTTTTGTTCTCTAGTTTTAAGGGTTAAGTTTACAAGAGATTACATGGCTAAAAGCCAGACATATTGCTTTAATATAATTTTTATGGTTTGGGTTTTTCACCTTTTTAGAATAAGAGTTACTGTCTTTGAATAGACTGTATGTCAAAGACACTGGTGTATCCCTCATTTTAACCTGGAGAGAAAAACTTTGAAGAAATTATTTTTGAGGTCTGAACATGAGGATAAAGTTGAAAGAGAATCAAGATTATAACTACTAACCAGTTTTACTGCACTCCTGGTAGTTTTATAAAGAATGAAGAAGGACACCTAATGGAATTGACTGTTGACACAGGAGCAGAAGATAATTTAGCACACAGCAATATAATGTGCAACCCCATTCACTTTATGCCAGCTGTTCAATACCTTTGGGATTCCAGGCACACATAATGATTCTTCTGTCATCTGGATTAGTTTTGATCGTTTCAATCACTTTTTGCAACTGATCAACTCCTTGGTTGGAGTAATCTGGAGAAATAGAACAAATAAGATCTAAACTGGACAGATTCAAGCCATGGTATTTTTTTATCACCCAGCCCATGTCCCGCTGAAAAGTGATACCCAAATGACAACCTCTGAAAATTTTATTGCAAGTTTGAAACTGATTTATAAGGTGGCACCATCCAAACATAGGTTGTTCTCAGTCTTTCTTAGGATGCTCCAGAGCTTGTAAAATTCTCATGATGATATGTCTCTATGCACCCCCCCATATATTCTGTGTGCTTTGAGTACCTTTAGCACCCACTGAAATAGGACCATTCCTATTTATTCCATTTTCAACCACTTGATTTATTTTAAGACAAACTTAAAATTCTGTATAATCACTAAACCCCAAGAAACAGAAGTTGCAATACAAAAAACTAGCTGGACAAAGATGATATCTTATCACTCATGATGACTTGTTACCTAAATAGGACAAGAGCTGTACTGGAATGGACTAGACATTATCACCTAGTCAGTCATGGTATTTAGACTGATTTGCTTATTGCATTTCTGGATTAAAATGCCTTTCTAAACATTTAATTTGCATGCTACAGTTTTCTTTCTTATATAGAAAAAAAATTATGCCCAGACCAGTGTGCCAGGTGCCAGCATTCTTTACACACTCAAAAGAACAGTTTTTGACAGATGAATAAAAGCATCCATCTAGCACTCTCAAGGTCATGTATGAAAACTAAATTTACATAGCATTTAGCTCCAGAAAGGAACTTTAATTATGTGTAGCACAGGATATTACATTTCACCCAATGACACAGGCTGAATTTTAGGCTCAATACCAGTTGTGTAAGAAATTTTCTGAAATTAACTGACCATAGAATGGATTTCAGAATAAAAAAGTCATTAGTTGTTAATCATTGTTCTGACTCATGCCAGTCAATCAGCATGGCTGGTAACTACTTTTTTCTAATAACTCTTTTTGCAGCAACACCAAATTATGGTTACAGGGAGACCCAAGCTGGAAAACAAGGTAGCAATACACAATTAGCATCTCAGGGAACTCTTTGCCAGCAGTACCATGCCAGAAGCCTTGTCAAATGGTCATGTTAGTTCCTGAAGCTACTTATCTCTCCATTAGTAATGCAACTTAAGGAAATCTGTTTGTAAGGAAAACCATGGGAATTTATCTTGTTCATTTTCTCCATGCTATGCTGTACCTTAAGACTTTTTAAGACGAGAAACAGTAAGTTTTCAGATGTGCCAGTTCACAATTTGCATCATTTGTGTTACCATAAAAATGTATTCTGCTAGTGGCCAACATGCCAATACTAAGTATAATATCAGCAATTCATTGTGAGCTGCATTTTGAGGCTGTACTGAAAATAAAACAAAACAAAATGAAAAAAAAAAAAACACACACAAAAAAACCCCCAAGAAACCTCACCTAGATAATTACCCATGTTGTTAATCCACATTAAAAAAAAATCACACCAGATAGTGACAATCTGGTTTTTGACACCTTTTTCTTAATGGCAGTCCTCTAAGCATTTTCTATAGCTTCTCCTGCAGAGACTTGGAAAAGAGGAATCAATGCATTTGAGAGTCAGTTTAATAAACCAGTTCCACTGAAAATACCAGCAGGTACTGCATCACATCACAACTTGCCACAGCTGTTCTGCCCACAGCATCATCAGCTGTGGAAACACCCTACTTGGTTCAGATGGAAAATGGAAAAATCTTTCTCTTCACTGCCTCCAGTGAATGTAGTGTACTGATGCCAGTTCTTTCCAGCACAACAATTTCATGGACCCTGCACTGGTATAGAGAGATGGCAGCCTGTGTTCTGTTATCAAATGGAGCTAGCTCAGGTTTCTGGACTGCAGCACACACATCCTTCCAGCTATCAGCAACCACATCTGCTCTAGGTAACAGAGCAACAGTGTGTGCCTTGTGACTCATCTGTTCCACAAATACCGAACTATAGTATACAAAGCTACATCTTTCAGGATAATTAAGATTGAGTAAGGAAGAAAGTTCAATTAACTCTCTCAAACACTCTTTATTCTGGCCACCAGCTTGCTCTGTATAGTTAAGAACATTCCATTCTACACAGGCTTCTGGAAGTGATGTGTCACAGCTGTCTCACTGAGCACTCAAGACTGTATTTGGATGTGATTACCTGTGTGCATATCTTTGTATTCTGCTCCAAAATGCCTCCACTGGAAACCATACACTGGTCCCAAATCACCCTCCTCTCTGGTGCTGAAACCCTGCTTATCCAGGAACTCACGGGACCCATTGGCATCCCAAATCTTCACACCTTTTGCAGAGAGCTCTTTGGCATTTGTAGAACCCTAGAAAACACAGTGAGAAGTCTGCATCCTAATTCCAACACAGAGGGCATGATTTAGAACAGTTGTATTAAGCTTTGCTAGTCCACAGTATTTCTCCACTCATAAAGCATGAACAGTGTAATTCATGTACTGCATGAGGTTCTTGCACACAGACAGAACGAAACTTGTGAGCAACACGCTGGGATGGAGTTTGAAGTGCCACACTGCTGCTGTTTAACTCAGGATTCTCACACTTTGTGAATGCACAAACAGCCTCAAGGTCAGCTGTGGAACGTCATTTCGTAATTGCAGAGACCAAGATGTTGCTTTACAGATTGATGAAAATAGGCCAACAAAAACTGTATGGCCTAGGCACGGTCTTTTCCAAGCTACCTATAATAAAATTATGGTCTTAAAAATCCTTTTGTGAAAATGAGAAAAAAGAGAAAATAACCAGAAAAATGTCACTGAATCCTGCAAGATGTCCAAATCAGCACACTCAAAAATCCAACACAGAAATTATGCTGGTTTGGGGAGTGTCTAGTCTTTTACATTAAAAAGCAACAAAAACCAAAAACCAAACAAAACAAACAAGCAAACAAACAAGCAAAAATAAAACCAAACCCAAAACAAAACCAAAAACTTTTAAAAAATCAATTTGTATTTGAGTCCTGCTATCTAGCAAATACTTATGTAAATTCTCCCACACTTGCACAATATCACAACATAGAAAGGAACACTTACATTGTAATGAACTAACTGTAGTTGAATTTTATTATATTAGTTACAGCTATTTGCTCTATTAGATGTAATGTTTCAGCTATTAAAAATTCTAGCATTTACATCAGTCTTATTTCACCCGTGGTTCCACACTGCTTGTTTCTGTTCAAATCAAGCTACCTCAATATTAAAAAGCAGATCATTAAATTGCTTACTAGCTGTCTCATATTATTATTTCTGATTAAAACACAAAGAAAAGACACTGCATTAGGTGTTGTAGCTGTGGAGTATCTTCAAATTAGACCAAGCCCTCACTATTTCAAATTTTCTCCTTTAAGAAGAACTAGAAGTGAAACTGTTCTAATTTCACTGGTAGCAATAGTCTGCACTAAACAGCAGAATGTCTTGGTGATAACGACCTTCCATGTGTGGTCACAGTATCAGGGGGTTGCATTTCTTCTGTAACAGGAACAGAAGCATCTGCAGTTACCCAAATGCATTAATCCACTGCCCAGCAGTTGGTTCTGTTCATGCCACTCCGGGCCCACCACCCAGAGGGACACCCAAATACCGAACCTTGATGAACCACAGCAGCTCCTCCAGCACTCCCTTCCAGAACACCCTCTTCGTTGTCAGCAGCGGAAACTGATCTGGAAAAAGAATTCCACAGCGTCAGCCATTGCCAGGGTGAGCAGACTTCGCCTTTTCCCCACACAGAGGGCAATGCCACCCCTGACATTGTGAGGGTGGGATACGAAACAAAGAGTTAGGATGTGTAGCTGCCATGCTCAGACCCCTCGGGTGGGAGGGAGCGGGACATGCCCGGGGTGTGAGACCCCCACAATCAGCCCGGCTCAGGGCGGGGGCAGGAGCAGGGACACGGACAGGGAGCAGGGGCAGGGACAGGAGCAGGGATAGGGAGCAGGGGCAGGAGCAGGGACAGGGAGCAAGCTCAGGGGCCGGGGTCGCGGCGGTGCCCACCTCTGAGGCTGTACCGCGCCTGCATGCCGAACACGGAGATGGTGCCGGTGCCGGTGCGATCCTCTCTCCGGTGGCCGTGCTGCAGGATGTGCCGCACCTGCTGCAGGTACTGCTGCTCGCCGGGCTCCGGGCAGGCGGCGGGGCCGCTCAGCAGCTCCCCGTCGGCGGGCATGGCTGGCGAGCGGATTCTGGGCTCCGGCTGTGCGCCTCTGCCGAGCCCGCCAAAGCGCGGAGTTCCCGCCAAAGCAAGCCCGGAGTTCCCGCCAAACAGTGCCGAGGGGCGGGCGGGGCGGAGCGGCACCACCGCCACCTCCTCCCCTGCCCGACCACTTCCCTTTCCCCCTCCCTTTCCTCTTCCAGGCCCGGGGGTCTCTGCACTGCTGCCTCCGCAGCCGCCCGCCCACTGTGCTCCTGCACGGAGCTGCTGCCCCTCAGGGAGGGCGGGCCCGAGGCAGTGCCCCGAACCATACCGACTCCTTTAGGTTGGATTTTAGGAAGAGTTTATTCACAGAAAGGTTGATTACACATCAGAATGGGCTGCCCCGGGAGGTGGTGGAGCCACCATCCCTGAAGGTGTTTGAGGAAAGACGTGGTGGCATGTTCTAGCAGACAGGGTGGTGTTCCGTCCAAGGTTGCACCCAATGAGCTCAGAGGAGCTTCAGTCTTTTTGTACTTGATTGACTGTGTGATTCTGTGACTTCGTTCTGCTCTAGTGGCACCGTAAGATTCATCCCATGCTGGAGTGTGCTGTTTACATTTGTCATCTTTCCCTCTCTCTGCAGCCTCAGGCACCGCCTTTCGGAGCTGAACAAGACCAAAGCCTTCAGCTGGGCCTGGCAGGCTGCACACATCTGGCACTGGATCCCCCCAGCCGGGATATCCCAAAAAAGCCCCTGTGCCAGCCTCCCTTGTCTCCCCTGCTATGGTGGCCCTGCACTGCCGTGCCCCATGCACAGCTCACCTTCCACATCCAGCAGTGTCACCCTGAGCTGAGCTTCCAAAGCCACGTTCCTTTCATGCCATGCCATGTCATCAGCTTCCTGCTTCATATTTTATTGGCACATTTGCTGCTCACTAAGGGTAGTCCTCATCACTTGGGTTTATCATGTCTCATCATGTTCATCTCAGCTTCTCCCATGTCCCAGTGCCATTTTGCATCCCAACCCGTGTCTGACTGCAACTGTTCCCAACATGGTGTCCTCTGAAAATTTTCTGCATATAATCTTTGCTAGTCAGAAGAAACTGATTCTTCTCTGAATATTTAATCATTAGTATCTCTTGGAAGTCAAGAATTTCCTAAGAGTCACTTATCTCTGAGACCTGACAACTGACATGCTTATGTTATGTTATGACTGATAATCTCTCATTATTAGGAGCCTGAAATACAGGTATATATGATGGAAGCTAAGGGCCACAGAGGACTGTGGATTAGAAAATGCTACCTTTCTTTGCAGCAGACAGAAAAGAATCTTTTCCACGAATTAAAAGAGTAAAATAGTTTTTTTTTCCTCATATAAATTTTTATACTTCTTGTGTATGTGTAGAAGTAAAGGAAAACATAAAGTGTAAGTAGGGTGTGGATATTTTTCTCTGCTCATATCTGATAAAGATGAATTTGCACACCTTAGCATACTTCATTTAGCCGAGCTACATATACCTGTGTGCAAAACATGCTTATAAAAGCTTTGCATGGCAAATGACACCAAATCACCTAGAGCTCTGCTTCTAGCTTAGAGCTATATCAGTACTTAACCTTTATTATAATTTACAAATACCATTGAAAGCTGATGTGTATAATTTAGGGAGAAACAAGCTTCTTTACTGATAAAGGCTTTTAATTAATTAAGAAATGAACTTCAGAGGCAGACTGCTGTTTGTAAGAAATGCCAAAGGCAGAAGACTTACTCATTAGTGCATATTCAGATAAGTAATTTAATGTACACAATAAGCATCAAAAGCAACTGGAAGAAAAAATTGAATATTTTCATTGCAAAATAATATGCTACATGCAGATGGAAATGTGGTTGATTCAGACTTAGCTGAATGTGCAACATCTGTAGGAATCTGTCTTGAAAAGGCTTGAGAATGTGCTTGAATGTAAGAATGCAAATAGAAATTACTTTTATGCTTACAGTTGATTATATCCTCAAATCTTTGCATAAGCAGAGTCATGACTTGTTATCAAAGATTACCTTACTGACAACATAAATAACATTTTATTTAAATAAACTAATACTGAAATGGATTTGGTTTGAAGTTGGAGTTTAAAGATTTCTACAGTCTTTGGTTGATAGCTTATATGTCACATTATTTACTAAGCAACATTTTATTTATATGCAACTATTTTAACCATAGAAATTCAACACTTAGCTATGCTGAGTACAGGGGTAGTTCAACTAAGGAGCATGTACTTTATTTCAGGAAGAAAGAATTCACACTTCTTTCCTAGGAGAAAAAAAAAAAGATTATACATTTTGGTTTTGAATGGAGAAAAATATGTTAGAAAAGTAAGTATATGTGGAATGTACCAGTGTCCTGCTATAGAAACATGCATAACATAAAAACCAGACAGAAACTTTTCTTTTTCTCTCCCCTTCTGTTCTCACAGATCTACCCAGTTTTCTTGTGGAGTTTTAACTCTGTTTTTATCCATTACATTTTCATGTACTCTAAGCCTTGTGCAAACTGAATGCTGTGATTTTGAAATCAACACTGCTTACTTTTCCCAGGTATTAAATGGGTACACAGATATGCCCACAGGAAAATCAGACTAAGATTCAGGCTAAAAATCATCATCAAACTACAGAAATAATTATTGCCATCATCGGGCCCTGAAGATTATTATTCCATAATCTGAAAGAGTATTTATCATTTATATTTACAACTGCATATAAATTATAGAGAATTTTGAAGAAAAATTGTAGATAAAGAGTTGGAGAATTTTATTTCGGATGTTTATAAATATCAACATGTAATTTCACCAACATTTACCTAAGCAAAGTATATGGTTTATTCTGTCTAAATTCTGCAGCCCACCTCAGCCTCTCTGGTGGGAGTGATTTCTTTCATCTGCTTAAAAAGTGTACCTCTGACCTCAAAAGAATAAGCAGATTTAATACAAAATGCTGAAATCTTCTTCATCTACTTTGTTAACGTTGAATGCTCTTTCCCTGCCTCCTGAGACTTTTCCTTGTGTGCAGGTCATGCTTCGGTTGCTCATTTGAGGAAATCAGCTATGACCTAAAGAGAAACTGTTCAAATCTGGTCCTTCTCAGAAGATTTGGGGACCATGCAGTGATTTGCCTGAAAGTCTCATGTGTCTTGTGGCTCTGTTCCCCTGGAAGAGACAACTCTGAGAGTCAGAGGCCACTACAGCTGTGCATCCCAGAGTCCCCTTGGAAGGGAAACACAGGGAAGAGTGGTTTACAAGTTTCACAGTAGTGTGATGCCACCTAAAACCCTTCCCTCTTTCTTGGGAAATTCCCTGTGGGATTAGAGAATATGAAGCATTTGTCCTCCCTGCCTCTCTGCCTGGTTTTTCCTTCCTCTTCTTGAAATGTCATAAACAAGAAGAAAGCCTTCTTGTGTGTCCTTTTTACAAAAATGGTTGAAGGCCATGAGCAGGATCTTTCTGTGCATGACCCTGCAAGATGAACTGCAGCCTGTATTAATAAACACTGTTAATCTGAGCAGTGTGCTGCTAATGCAGAAATATTACGGCAAGACAGCTCTTCCAAGTCCTGGTGGTGATTCTCAATTTGCCCTCCTTTATCATCAAAAATAATATGAGCATGCTCTCAAACACTATTGAAAATTAAAAAAAAAATCCAAAAAACATAATGAATAGTGGTAATTCCAGTCCATTCATGATGAATGAACACAAAGACATAGTTTTCAATGCCAAGACACTGGACTGTGGTTGTGAGGCAATTCTTTTGTGAAGAAATATTTATTATCACATTACCTCATCCCAGCTGTTACTTAAAGATTGGGGGTTTCACAGATATATAAGTCAAATCATTTAATGTCATCTTGTCTGTGTTTTGCAGGCAAAAACATTGAGTGTTTGTTTGTGTTTTCCATAATGCTTGTGTTTTTCTCAATGTGTCCTTTCTGAGAAGGCAGTCTTGTATACACCATGAATGAATCCTGTTCCAACTAAAGTTTATTGCAATGTAAACACCTCTTATGAAGAAGTGTGTTCTCTGTGAAAGCAGAAAGAATGAACTTACCACTTAAAAATTCTGCTTATACAATTGGAGTGCTTTCCCAGCTATGTATTCGATGAACTCAGGACTCTTGGGATCCAAGTTGGGAGGAACTTTGATGGTGAAAGTAGGTGAAGTCAGAACGTTCACATCTACCACAGTTTCGTCTTTACTGGAGGGATCCCCAGGTACCACCTAGGAGAGATCAGTACTTTAGACACCACAAACTGCTGTGTGCTTTCAGTTTTGTTTATACCTGCTGTGCCCACTCTCTTTAACAGGGGAAAATTAAATAGGGGAATATTTTAGACTTGCCTACTTTTTTTAAATTGCTTTCTTCTGAAAAGACAGTGGGTGTCTGAATTTATGTAGGTGGTGGAAAGAGCTGACATGGCACTGCCAAGACCATATTAAAGAACGGCATGTTAATATTTATATCATAAGCTACATCTATAAAGAGCTTCTGTTCTCCTAATGAAAACTTCTGAGCTGTCCCACTAAGTTCAATACAACATTTGTGTGATTGAATTTATTCATTCCTGTGTGTTTTTCTAAATCAGACTTAGTTCTGTAGCTTTATTTTCCTAGAACAGATATCTCAGACTCAGTTGGGAAAATGTGCCTGTCTCCTGTTCCTATTTTGTGCTTTTTTTGGTGGATTGTACCACTATTTTGTATAAAGTTCTGATAGTAATAGTAGTAATTCACTTTATATAAGTGTATTTCTGAGTTAGAAGAAAGAAAAAGATTTGTCCCTTGCCCAGGAAAATGGATTGAATTTACCTTGGATGTATCTTTGTGTGTGAGACACAATTAATCATGATGTATTTACTGAAATATTGGCCAATGCTGTCAAGCATGTGCAGCTTCCACTGCAAAAATCTGTATAACATTTGTCTTCTTTGAACTTTGGAATATGTAGGTACAGACACACAGCTAGACATTCATCCATCTAATGTGGATGTGTCAGTGACTGGTGCAGTGCAGTTTATCTGTGAAGGTAATCTGAGGCCAGTCAAAGCTACTAGTGTCAATTTACTCTTATCAGACAGTGATTCAGGTTAGCCTGTCAGCCATCCATCACACTAAAGGGATTTAGAGGAAAATAGTTTCTAATCTCAGGAGTTTCAGCTCATTGAGGGATTACCAAGCACACACAAATTCAAGATGAGTAGGAAAGTCATGTTGTAAAGCTAAACATTACACATGTATGAACATCCAGAGCCCTCAGGAACGTAAACATGAGCAAAAGGCAGTTTAAAGGCAGCAATAGCTCCCTTCAGAAGACAACCCTTACCTTAACTACGTTGAAAATGTTTTCTGGTCCAATGGTCATGTTGGACAGCTCAGACACCCACCCAAACCTTTCTTTCATTTTGTTCAGCAAGTAGGAAGTGTCCTCCGTGTGATGCCGAACCACCTGGAGGATCTGCTCGTACTGCTCCCCTGAGAGATTAACCAGCTTAAAGGCTTCATCAAACTTTATGTGCAGCTCAGGAACGTTTGGGCAATCTGTTAGGAAAGACAGTGTTATGTCTTGTTCTTTGTCTTTTCTGTCTGAAGAAATGAAAACTGTAAAAAAGCCTAGCGAGAGGGCATGGTTTGGATGGGTCTTTAAATAATGCTGAAAAAAAGGAGAATAATTTTTGCTTGCTGATTATGGTAGATTTAGTTTAGACTCAATGACTAAATGAATGCATTATGCCATTTATTGTATCAAAGTCATTTAACAAGTTTATATCATATAATACATAAGGTTTAAATAATATTTCATGACAATAGATTTTTTGTTAATGCTAAATAAGATCTGGTAAATTTTACATATAGCAATTTCATAGTCTTCTTATAGGTTATGGGTTCTTTTATTGGCTCATATTCCATTATGAATCTATCCCAGGTATATAGACTCCAAGGCAGGGGCTGAGGAAGCCAAGTTCCTTTCACTGTAAAAGAAGTTTTAAGTCCACATGAGGAACCTTAACCTGTCTAGGTCTGTGGCACCTGATGAGTTCAGAGGCAATTGGCTGATGTAGCCACTCTCCATGATTTGAAAAGTTATGGAAGAGAAGGGAGTCTCTGGTGGTGAGGAAAATGGAAATATTTCACTGATTTTTTTGAAAAAGGATTGTAAGAAGGACCCCGAGGACTACCACTCTCTCAGCCTCACCCCTGGCCTGGAAAAATCGTGGAACAGACCTTCAAGAAGCTCTGCTTAGGCACATGGAAGATAGGGAAGTGATTCAGGACAGCCAGCAGAGCTTCACCAAGGGCAAGTCCTGCCTGACCAGTCAGTGGCATCCTATGATGGAGTGATTCCATCACTGGTGAAGGAAAGGGTTGGAAAAGCCATTTATTTGTACTTCTGTAAGGTCATTGATGCAGTCCCCCACAACATCCTTTTTTCTGAACTGGAGAGATAAGGATTTGATGGGTGGAATGTTTGGTGGATGAGGAATTGTATGGATGGTCATACCCAGAGGGTGGTGGTCAATGCCCAGATAGACATCATGGACAGTTTGGTGTCCCTTAGGAGCCTGTACTGGGACCAGTACTGTTTAATGTCTTCATCAATTACATGGACAGGGGGATGAAGGGGGAACCTGCAAACTTGGCAGGTTCACAGATGACACCAAGCTGAGTGGTGTGGTTGACACATCCAGGGGATGGGATGGGATGCCACGCAGAGGGACCTGGGAAAGCTCATGAAGTAGGCCCAGGTGAACCTCATGAGGTTCAGCAAGGCCAAGTGCAAGGTGCTCCAGCTGGGTCATGGCAACTCCTGCTGTCAACACAGGCTGGAAGATGAACAGACTGAGAGCAGCCCTGCCAAAAGGACTTGGGGGTGCTGGTGGATGAGAAGCTGGACATGAACTGGCCATGTGTGCTCACAGCCCAGAAAGCCAAACACATCCTGGGCTGCATCAAAAGAATCATGGCCAGTAGGTTGAGGGAGGTGATTTTGCCCCCCTACTCTTCTCTCATAAGATCCCTGAAGTACTTCATCCAGGTCTGGATTCCTGTACTCATTTGGCACATCCTGGTTTTAGGTAGCAGGGCGACCACAAAGATGGCTCCTGTGGGAAGCCGCTGGAAGCTTCCACCAGGTCTGGCAGATCCAGAGTTGATGGCTGTGAAGATGGCCAAAGCCAGGCCAATGAGAGAGGTTGTTAACACCTCTGTGATAACATATTCAAGAAGAAAAACAGTCATGGGGTTTTGCTTCTTGTCAGAGAAGAGAAGGAGGTGAGAATATGTGAGGGAAACAACATGGAGACACCAAGGTGGTTGGAGAAGGAGGGGAGGAGCTGCTCCAGGCACTGGAGCGGGGATTCTTCTGCAGGCCGTGGTGAGAACATGGTGAGGCAGCTGTGCCCCTGCAGCCCATGGGGATCCATGGGGGATGCAGAGATCCACCCACAGCCCGTGGGAATCCATAGGGGATGCAGAGATCCACCCACAGCCCGTGGGGATCCATGGAGGATGCAGAGATCCACCCACAGCCCGTGGGGGAGGTGCCCATGCAGAGCAGGTGGATCCCTGGAGGAGGCTGTGATCCATGGAAGACCTTGTGGAGAGAGAAGGCCCCTGCTCCCAGGCTGGAGCCGCCTGTCCTTGGGGGACTGCACTCCATGGGAAGAGAGCCATGCCACAGCAGTTTTGGGAGGATTGTCTGCCCTTGGGGAGTGTTCACATTGCAGCAGGTGCCGTACGGCTGCTGTTCGTGAGAGTGGACCCACAGCAGAGAATTTCATAGAGAACTGTCTGCCATGGGAGGGACCCCACAGCCTCACAGGGGAAGGACTCCTCTCCCAGAGCAGAAGGAAAATCTCGGTGATGAACTGACCAAACCCCCATGCCCTGTTGGTAGGAAGGAGGAGGGGCTGGGGGAGAAGATGTTTTAAGGGCTTATTTTACTTCTCATTATCCTCCTCTGGTTCTGTTAGTAATAAATTTCACTTTGTAACAAAATTTGAGCCTTATTTGCCCTTGAAGTTTTTTCTCCCAGTCCTTATCTCACTCATGAAGCCTTCATTAATTTTTTTCTTTTTCCTCCTTTGCTCAGCCATGGCAGGGGAGGGTGAGTGAGCAACTCTCATGGATGCCTGGCATTGGGCCAGTGTCAAACCACAGCAGCTCCTCAGCATAGAATGCATGGACCTGTTGGAGCAAGTCCAGAGGAGAGTCACAAAAGCTGTTAGAGCCTGGGAGCACCTCTCCTATTTATTAGGACGGGCTGAGAGAGCTGGGGTTATTCAGCCTGGAGAAGAGAAGACCCTGGGGACACTTATTGTGGCCTTTGAATATAATCTGTGACCATCAGCTACTGAAGGGTGCCTGTAAGAAAGATGGGGACAAGAGGTAATGATTTTGAATTGAAAGTGGGTGGATTTAGATTACATGTAAGCAAGAAGTTTTTACAATAAGGGTGGTGAAACAGTGAAACAGAGAGCAGGTAGATGTCCCATCCCTGGAAACATGCAAGGTCAGGTTGTGTGGGGGTCTGAGCAACATGATCTAGATGAAGATGTCTCTGCTGATTTCTGGGGGTTGGTCATCTAGACCAAGGTCCCTTTAACCCCACATTATTATATGATTCTGTGATAGAGGTTATAACAAGAAAGCCTGCATTCTTGTGGAGTGTTAAAACCTAATATTTATCTTACGATAGCTAGACAGTAGACTAGCACCATCTGCCACAAATTCAGAACTGAAGACTGCTGGTATTTTCTTTACTAAAATATGGATTTAAAGAAGAAAAAAATTCTATGCAATAATTTCTCTGTAAAAATTCAGTTTCTGTTCTGTCAAACTGGATTATCAAGGGGCACCTTCCAGCTGATGGTACAGTAACAAACTGGTATCTTTAGTACATGGGTGTAGATAAAAAGATAAGTGGTCAGATACACACTGATAAACACTTTAACGTCTGCCCCACTGGATATATTCTGAAGACATTTAGGTTTAAGCATTAGGTTTAGTGCTTAAATGCTCTTAGATTTTATGATCTAAATAATTCTGGAAAGACGGTATGTTATGCTGCAGTGGGAGTCCTGACTGGCAGTTCTGGGTGATCGGTCTGAAGGTTTTTCAGGTGCCCATGGACAGTGCTGACAGAGCTGCCATCTCCTTATTTACTGACATGAAGTCCCCTTTTTGTCCTTCATGTCAGTTCTATCTGCAGACAGGATTCAACAAAAAGTAATTACAGGCTCTTCAGCGCTTGCTTTCATTGCGAGGAGCTGAATGATACCTGAGGTTACACCTGTTTGTCAGCAGGAGAAGCGACTGTCAGGAGTTTGAGTTTCTGCTCACTTTCTGCTCAGCACTGCTGCACCCAGGCAGGATCGACTGCTGCCTGACATCTTGCTTCCCTGCAGGATTACAGCTCTAACAAAACGCCTATATATTCTGTTACAGGCTGTGGGACGTCTCTTTGGAGCTCCAGCGGTGTGTTAAGAACTGAGCTATACTGACACTCTGTGGAGACAGCGGGGAAAGCTAATTTAAATCATCTGGCATGAGGAGGAATGGTTACTGTAGCCGTGGTTACAGTAAAAACTCGGTGACTATGATAAATGTTAATTCCAGTAGATAATTAAAACCTCAAAATCTATAAACCAGTAATCAATGCATTACAGAAAGAAAAAGGGGGGGAAAAAAGGAGAATCGTTATTTACCATGCAAAAGATTGTCTTGACATTTCTGGCATCTCTCATGGAACTGTGGGCATCCAGAGGAGTTCTCCCGGAGCTCCCTGCACTGAAGTCTCTGGCGCCCTGACACAATTTTTGAAAACATGCCACTTCTTTCAGGATCTAGAATGAAGTCATAGTATTCTTAGACTGCTGTTAAACTTAGAGTCTTTATAAGTATGCATTCATTACCGAGCCTGAGTGCTAGAATATAATTTCTTGTCCTTAATCCAAAGTATTTTGCATAAATCCCCTTCCTTACCCCTCCACTTCCCCTCTGCTCCAAAAAAGTAAAAGGAATAGATTATTAAAAAGTAGAAGTCAAGAGAAGATTCAAATAATATTTTCTTTCAAGGAATTCTTGCTGTAGTATATTCCTTTATAAAGACTTAGGAGTGTACTCCCCAGACATAACCAAAACATTGCCAATATTATTATGCATTATTTCTACAACATGTGAGTTCTGGTAAGATCTTTTTGATCCTTAGAAGTCAAGATGTTTCATAATCACATACAGTTACACGAGAACACAGTACCAAGTCCATTTCTGAGGTAACAGGGCTTATGATATAGAGAAAAATTTAAAAACACTATTCAAGAGTCACTTAATTTTGTATTTCCTGATGATCACGTAATGTTTATGTCACCTGCCACTCAGAGTTATGGCATGTGCTCACTGTGATTTCCCTGTAGACAAGGACAAGCATGTATTTGTCCTGTTTGCAATAGTCAAGTATTAGGCTTATTTGTATTCTAAAAGTCAGCCATGGTCATTTTCCTTCACTGAGTGTCATCACCAATGGTATGCCCAGAATTTTCTGGTCACTGGAAAACCTGATGGCTGGTCTTTGATTAGCTGGTATTTGATTGTCAAATTACATTGCTGCTGTAGCCTGAAACAGCACTTGCAGCTGTCAAGCTGAAGTTAGCATCATTTGGCAAAGGCAGGGATATGCCTTGACATCTCACAAAATTACCCTAATTTTTTAGAAGTGGTGACCATGTCAATAAGAGATGATACAAATCATATCCTGACAAATGCTGAGATTAAATCTGTCAGTCAGCCTCATGAAAACCTGCATCCACCCTGAATTAAAGTTCTCCTCAGGAGCACTTAAAGAATTGCCATGAAAATCAGGCTGCGTAGGACCCCTAAGTCCCCCTGCAACATTTCTCTGAGATTTCTAGGTGACTTCTATTTGTTCATTTAACTGATAGCTACCCTTGACCCACAGCCTCCAGACTTTCCTTATGTATCTTGCACTCATACTGGAAACTGAGTAATTCACTGTAGTTTAGCCATCCCAAGGGGGTTGATGTCATTGACAGAGCAGTCAATTTTCATCTTCTAACACTTGCCTTTGGTTTCTTCTGGCACATCTCTTCTGTAATCTCTGTATTCATCAAACACATCAGTGATCACCTCGCTGACACCTTCGAACACTGTCCTGCTGAAATCAAAAACTGTCTGTAAGAAGCCAGGCACGCCCCAGCCCCTCTGGGAGCCTTCAATTCTGGTGGTGACCTCAGGTAAAGCTGGCATACTAGGGGACTCACTCATCTCCAGGTCAGACATGAAATAAGTCTGAAAAGACTGGTCAAATTCTTTTTGCATGTGCTTGAAAAAAATGAAACTTCTGTCAAATATTGAGCCCACATCCGATAAAAGCTGGCTAAATAAATCTTCCATCTTTACTAGCTGGGTGTCCTCTTTCTCAGGCTTTTCATTAGATTGGATGTCTCTTCCTTGCTCCTCATGAAAAGTAAATATGAGTGGAGGTATTTTCCTCAAAAAATCTTCAACCTGTGTGTAAGAAAGAGACAGATCAGGAGAGAAATGTTACTGGTTTCTCATCTCTCAGATAAGTGTCTCTAATTTTTCTCTTTCAAATACTCAAAGAAACAATGCCCTCTTAACTGCCAATACAGCATATTCTCTGAAATAATTTAAGACAGTAGACCCCAAAGAGAAGAAGTGCATTCAATCTAAATCATTAGTTGCAAATCAGATCTGGAGTAAAAATTCTGCCAGTTGCCCTTTAATCTGTGGGGGCTCCAAGTTATTGTCAGCATTTGGGTTTCTTTCAACAGACAGCTTGGACTTTATGTTGTGAAGATGTGAGATGCATTTCTGTCTGCTTATGTGCAGTGTAGTGAGCAGAAGGTTCTCACCTTGATTTGTAAAAAGCCTGTCCTCTCTCACCATTGGGCAAATCCTCATGTCCTTGTGTGAATGGAAACCAGCACAATCAATAAAGCAGTGGCTCTGAGTCCATGGTTTTATCATGTAAGAGGCCAAGTGTCAATTTTGCTGTCACAGAGTTCCAGTTCCTGGCTTTTGGCCACTGATTCTCTGCTCCCCACTCTGAGGCACTACTTTGGCCTGAGCCGATGGAGTGGCTTTTTGAGCCACACTCCATGGCATTAGAAAATGGGTAAGGGTTAAGAAGCACCTTGCTAAAACACACATTTGTAGATTTAGATAGATAGATACAGACAGATATACATAAAGACAGTTATATATATATATATATATTTTTAAACCCCAAATCATCAGCTTGATCTGACCACTAGTGCAGCTTAGAGGGTAGTTGAAGTGTGAAACAGCACTGCAGGAACAGCCTGAGTGAGTATTGCTCCTGCTGTCTGTGTCCTCAGCTACAGTATCATTTTTTTTCTTTTTCTTTTTCTTTTTTTTTTTTTTTTTAATACCTTCAGTCATAACACAGCTCTTACTTTGAATGCCTCAAGTAAACCAAGTGACTGATGAGGGATGTTACCAAGAGGGTCAAAGACAGGGACAATGCAGTGTATAACTTTTACTGCAGTAATTGCAGCATCTACAGACTCTTGAAAACCCAAAACATTTATATGAGCCACCCATAAGTCATACCTAAAAAGCTAAAAATACCACAAATAGTTTTAAATTTAATATCTCCCACATTTTAACCTGAATTATTTTAAGAATATGCACAAATATTAAACACCTGTGCTCTAAACCCTGTCTGAAACACCACATTTAATGTTAAAGTTATTGTACTTTTCAGTACATGGGAGGGGTGAAAGATAGAGAATCTGGCTGACATTTTAGTAGCAGCAATTACAGTTCTGCTTCAGAAGTTTGTTGCGCTTAATGTGTATGCCCAAACAAAAAATGTGATTACAATTGTTAAATTTTGTAGTAATAATGGTCCAGACAGGAAACCATATTTTCTTTCTAGTAGAATTAGGAGAATCTCCTTTGCTGACAGGCTCCTTTATTACAAGAGGTTAAGCATTTTAAAGTTTTGTTTGTACTTAAAAAGTTTATTTAAGAAAAATATAGAAAAGAATGGTGTAATAATTAGGTGATTTTTTTTTACCCCATGTAATTTTGCTAACTACATCTACGCTTTTAACTTTTTCAGACGGACCATAAGAATATATGTGGTAATTTCACAAACAGTGTTCAAGCATCTTAGTTCAAGTCCCACTGTGAGAGAAAACATGTTATACCTGGAATGAGTCTGTTTGAGTTAGGGGAGTCATCGGTTTCCATGGAATCTTGCCAGGGTGCAACTGAACTCATTTTGGCTCAGCATTCCATGACCCATAATCACATGTAATCTCTACCATATAACTTCATACTTCCAGACTTCCAAATGAAATTAATTTTAGTAAGCTGATATAACTGGCAGACCTAGGTATTGAGAAATAAGATGTGCTGTCTCTTTGGGTGAACTCAAGAGTATTCTCCAGATGCAAAGTTTCCTCCTACCTTTCTCTTAAAGGTTGACACACCACGTTTGCATGTTGTATAATATCGCATGCAGGTACTTTCTAAACAAGATTCACATTCATCCCATAGATTTTTCAAGGATACTTGACATTGTCTTTCCTCTTCTTCCAGTCTTGCCTTTACTTCATCCATAAGTCGCAAAGCTTGCTAAGTAAGGAAAAAATTCAGTTGAGGGTAATTTTCAGATTAGCCTTCTAAGTACTTACCCCAGTGTTCATCACTCATTTTGGCTATTTATGGCTCCTTTTTTTGCTAATCCCTAACCACTAGGCTAGGTTGCCTTCTCAGATGCAGTTACATATGGAAGGAACTGAAAATTGAAAACCTTTTCCTTATAGGATTTTTCTGATGTTGTTCTCTCAGGGGACACAGCCTACAGAAACAAATGGATTGCTACAGACTACCAGGATTTTTGATGTTAAGAAAAAAACTCACACATCATTCTGTGTAAGAATTCAGCCTCCCCCATGGTCATGTGTTCAACTCGTGTTATTTTTGCTCCATATCATCTGAACAGTACTCATCTGTCCCACAAATAGTCCTTTTCTGTTGCCTTTCTCTACCTTTAAGGGATTGATATTTCATGAGGGTAGGTCCTTGCCATAAAGTCTGTCTAATGCAGAAATATATAAAAGTTTAGCATCTCTGCTGTTTGTGAGTATGCTAATCAAAAGGGGAATTTTTCCTGCTCTTGTGGAAGTGTGAGGCACTCCTTCCATACTGAAGGGCAACAAGATGCATTTCACAATGCTGCTTCTGTTTGCTTCATCAGTTAGGGCACAAAGCTGAGCAGATAAGAAGCAGCATTTTTGGATATAGGCTTGACAATGGAAAGAGGAAAGTTCTTCCCATTGAAGTAGGTTACACATCATCAATTTCTCTCTCCAATTGCAACATATTTCAATAGTTTTTGTTTCCAAACAATGTTCCAAGCTATCTCTAAGTATGACAGAAACATTTTAATTGATGGGGCTTATTCCTTTTTGTCAGCATTCCAATAGGGAAGAGACTCACATAAAAGAAAACTTCCGTCAGAATGTGCTTGATGGAGACAGTAACTGCAGTTTTCGTAATCTGTGCTCAGTTATTTTCTGATCTTTCTAATACATTTATTCAGTGTTTTATGAACTCTCACTGTGGATGTGAGTCCTGTGTAAATTAAATCATCCAGTAAGATCTAACAAGAGTGTTGACTGTGGGAGTGCACTGGTGTTCCTTAAGATGTTAGAAAGCTATCAGGTACTTTTTTAGTTTTAATTAACTACCAGATGTTGGGCCAGGAGAGAATTTTCCTTCAACTTTGTTGAAACAAAGTTAGAATATTTGTGTTTTTTTAAATGTAGAGTAAACCTCTGTTTCTTCAGATCATCTGAGCATATGGCTCTGAGCCTAGGCATTGCACTAAGACATTGGAAATTTCCCTGATTCATTGTACTTTCTTTAGAGCACATTATCATTTGTGGCTTTGATGTTCTCCTGCAGGTCTGAAGTTTGCCAAGCAAGCTGGAGAACATCTTGTGGCCCCAGGAGTATAGAGACATGGCAGGCAGAGCTGCTGGACCTTCTGCACAGAACACTGTTCTACAGTGGCCTGCAGTTGCCTTGGTGTGAATTCAGTGAAGCAGGGGTTTTTAGTAACAAGCAGTATGTGCAATTTTCCTCTGCTAGTGAAACAAAGGGCCAGAAGCGGGTTTTCTCTCAATTCCATGACTGCATGAAAATATGTACACTGCTTTGGTTTGGTTTACATTCTTCCCAGAATAAACATAAAACCCCCACAGATGCATTTATGTTACCTGTTTTTCTTCACTGCTCTTCTTCAAGGTTTTCATCAGATCTATGTGCTTATCTTCATTTCTTTCCATCATAATTTTCATCTGCTTAATACCAATCAAAGCTTTCTTTACCTCTTCATCTACATACTTTTCTCCAACTTCAGATAATTCTAAAAAAAGCCAAATTATACAGTGACTTAATCAGATTTTAACACTATTGCAAATTGTCATGCACTGATGATGGAGAATGAAATAGCTCTGTGTTTCCCTACAGTGGCAGAGCCAAATCTGAGATAGCGAATGCTGAATGACACTGAGCCAAGACAATTTCCACCATATGAGAATCCGGCCCAGAGCTTTTGCAAGGATCAGCTGCATGTAACTCAAAAGGTATATTCAACTGTCCCACTGCTGAATACTGAATCCCAGAGCAATTGGGGCTGGTACCTTTGGAGATCATTAAGTCTGCCCCCTCCATTCAAAGCATGGTCAACTACATCAGGTTGCACAGGACATCATCATCCTGGGTTTTGAATATCTCCAAGGATCCCTCATCTGTTTTCTAATGACATAACCTTTATATTTGTCTTTGATCTGGTAGAAGCCTGTGACAGCTTCCCTCTACATTTTGAAAATGTCGATTACAAGTGCCTTCAACCTGTTTTCGTAAAAATACAATTTGTAGACTTCCTGTGAAGTAATGAGCATAGAGTTTTGGTGAAAACCTGGGCTGGCCCACGCACTGCACCTTGAAGCTCTGCATGATTCCCTATCCTTTATCTGCATTTGTTTTCTTTGTGGAAATACCCTGAATATCACTGAAACTATAGAAAACAGTAAAACCATCTCACCTTGAGACTGCCAAAAACACATTGATTACTTCTTCCTTTGTGTTTTTCTTCCTCATCTCTAACTTTCTGTTTGTTTATTACAAAAATCCTGTCAACATAGACTGAAGCACAGCATTGTTTAATGGCTGATCCTCTTTCTCTCCACAAAATAAATCCATGCTTAGAAGTATGTGTGCGTGTGCAGAATAGCTGGTATTTTCTAAATTAAGTATTTTTTTTTCAGTTGTTTGTAAAAGCCACCTTTTTCAATGAAGTATGTAAGTGTAGAGGAAATACTTTCAAAGATTATTTGAAAAAACAAAATCATTCAAAATCTGTTGAACCTCATTTTGGGTTTGGTTTCTATTCTGATGATCTACAAGGAACCAAATAACCTATAAAAAATCCTGTAAATACTTTTTTCTTTTGGCAGGTGATGCTTATCTATTAATCCCTTTTGCTTTCTCATCCTGCTTGTTCTTATCTTCCTATTGCGTGCGTGTAGGCACGCAATCGACTTTGTTATGTTTTCTAAGCTCCACACATGCAAGTGGCAGTTGTTGATGGCAGTGAGTGTGGAAGCCAAGATGCCCTGCCCAGCTGGAGACCTGGGCCCAGGGGCTTCCAGCCCACCCTGGCAGGAAAAGCTTACGTACGCTTGAGGTTGTCCCGGAGATTCATCTCCTCCTGCTTCGTCGGTGCGCACTGGTGGCCACTCAGACACAGCACATGGATCAGAAATATCCAGGAGGACCTCATGTTCTTTCTGTTCAGGGAAAAGTGCGGTGCAGTTACGTGTAAACATTGGCAGGAAGCTCAGATGTCTAGGTATACTAAGTAAATATAAATGCTAACTATAATACTACGTATCTTGCAAGATCCCGTTAATTTTGTCTCTAACGATGGTTTCTGATATGTATAGCATGCACCTAGGTGCTACTCTTGGTGAAAATACATGAGTAAGAAGCTTGACCTCCTTTGTAATTAGCTATTTAGATTAATTAGATGAATTCCACTGAGTTTGCACTGTGGTTAAGAGAATCAGGACATGTACGTATAAAATCAAAAGCTTATGCTGTTCAGTCTGTCCCTTTTCCTCTTTGTGAAACACACTAATTACCCATCTCATATTGTGTCCTTAGTTCATGTTATAAATACACCCATGCTAAAGATTATTGCCACTTTTAAAGAGGGAAGCTTCTGGAATGTTGTTCCCTTTCTTGTAAACATGCAATTCCTTTCAGTGTCCTTCAGAATAAGACTTAATATAAGAGACTCAACAAAGGTGTGCCAAAAAATCAGTAATTAGATCAATTTTGTAAACAAACAGATCAGCAAATGAAAGAAATCCCTAAACAAGGGAAAGAAATGCCATTTGCTTTATTTCCCTCCTAAGAGCAGAGCCAAAAGGTTCATTTTTCAGAAACCATGCAGCTTCACTTTATGGTTCTCATCTGATTAAGTGAACACAGTATTCAGATGCCTTGTAGTTAGCCAATATAGCCTTTTTGGAGACGCAATTATCAGCCACAAGAGCATATGTAAGTTAAAAGCCTGGATTTGTTTATAGCCCAGATTTACTTCTACTGCTACTTGCATATTTCACCTTCACATTTACACCAAAAGACCAATTAACTGCAAAAGAAATACAAACACACAACCAAAGAAAAGTAAAAAAGCATATTTACCATTAATATTTTGTACCTCTTCTGCAAAATTGCTCCTTGTGTCAGGAAGGGGCTGGGCTGTGTTCTGGACTTATTTCTGGGAGTGCCAGGGATTTTGCCATGTTCTACTTATCTGATGAGAAGGGCCTTAATCCTATTAAGGGACATTTAGTCACTAGGCTGGAGGATTTTGCATGTGTGTGACTTCATGCTCATCTCTGTGGGCAAAACCACCAGGGGGAGTGTTGGGCAGAATTGCCTGGTTTAATGTAATTTCGAACTGCTATTTTTCTGTAGTCAGTAGCCTTTTGTCGTGTTAGGTCTTCCCTCGTCTTACTTCTTACTTTACGAGACACCTGCAGCTTATGTTATTAGTGAAATTGATACCATTAGTTTGGCTAAAAATAGCTTTCAACATTTAATCTCCTCAGCATGGTTTTAGCTTGCTATAAAAACCACTTCATTATGTAAAGGCCTTCTTTGTACACCTTCTGAATGTATGGGAGTTGAAAAAAATACCGGGAATCCAGATGGAGGCTAGCATATGAGCAGGTTCTGAAACAAGATAAGTAATTTTTTTTTGGCATTTTGTACATCATTGTACTTGCCAATGTTGTGGGGGGTTGCCCACTTAATGATATTTCCTTCAGTTTCTCCATGTCTGTGAAATATGTCTGAGATCTGACTTGTACACTTTTGGATACTTTGAAATGAGATATTTAAATACTAACAGGTGCTTAATATAAAATATGGATAGGTACTGTTAGCAAGTCATATCCCACCTTGTGATATTCAGCAATATTACTCCCTTGTAGCCAAAGAAGAGATGGGAAGAGTGGGTGTTTTTAGCCCACAGTCTGTAACAGCAACTTTAAGACATTCTTTTCCATTTTGTTTACCTAATCATTCATAAAGGCCAATTGATGGCTAACATCTAGCATGATTAATGCTGCTTAGGCAAGAGATTTCAGGGATTTAGTTTTAAACACACTATCAGAAAGAGTGGAGAATCTATCAGCTCTAATGGGAACTGCAAGTCACCAATTTGCACTAAAAATTAGGGTAATTCCACTTTTTTTTCTGAAAATTATGGATGAAATGGAATATGTATTTTGTTGTAATCTATATGAATTGCTGTCTCATTGAGTTTCTGCTTACTCCTTGACCAAGACTCATCACAGTTCAAGTTCTCTTCTGTTGCAAAACTAAGCAGGCACCCTTGCAGACCTTGTGACTGTAAAGGATCCCTGGATCTTGGGCTGAAGCAGAAGGGGCTCTCCCCCCTGTCTCTCCCACTCTGAACCTCACACTCAGCTCAGGAGAGAGTGAAACTGGAAAATGCATTTGCACAAAGGAAGACAATCTATTACTTGTGAAACGTGCTGCTAGCCTACATGTATAATGAATCCTTACAAAGACTTTAATCTTTCACTGCAAGTGTTTCTCCAGTAATTTTTGGCGTTTCTCTTTGCTAATATTCATTTACTAGCGGCATTCATTTTCTGGTCTTTCTCAATCTCTGTATAGAGAAAGCTTCACTCAACCTAGATTAAAAAGGGTGGTTTCAACACATCACTCATAGCTCACAGGAATTTGTGGGAAAGCAGGTGGCCTCAGCCCTGTGGGGAGGGAGAGCTGCACTCCTGCCCCAGGGCAAGGGGCTGGAGAATGCATTTATAAATGCATATATAAAATCAAAAGCTTACTCCCAGAATTGTCTGCCTTCTGAAGGTCTCCTGGGGAGTCTCTGGTCAAACACACACTTGCACCTTGCAAAGCCAGTCCTCAAGCTGATGCTGAGGCAGAGAGCCCTGGTGTGTGTTGAGCTCCTGTTCTCAATTCAGTTGATTTTGAACATTGCAAAGTGTCTTGCATCATCTTAGGTGCTACTCCTCATACTTTATTGTAACCATTATGTAACCACATGGAAAGAGGCACTACTGTATCTATGTATATCTTTTTACAAAAACACAAAATCCTAGTTCTTTGCTCTCATGTTCTTTCATATATATCTAATGGCTGAAAGTGGAAGTGTAAGGAACCCAAGGACAAAATTGATGGAGCTAGTATGTCTGTTGAATTTAATTGATGGAGCTAGTATGTCTGTTAAATTTAATCTTAGGCTTAAACTTAACCTTAAAAGTGCACTTAAGAAACCAGCGCCCTATTCTTGAAAGGCAGCTCTTACTCGTGCTTACTCTGAAAAGTTTTTCCTCTCTCATTTCTGTTTTGAATTTAATTAAACAAAAATCTCATCAATAATACCTTCAGGTTTCATGTGAAATATCCACTCTCTTTTCTTTTAACTTTCTGAATCTGATTTGCAGGGACCTATTATGGAGATCTCCATTTTTCAGCTCAGCTGCCATGTTCAGCAGTTTCCTCTTAATATTTTATTTTCCTCTGAATTTGAGTGCTTTGATCAGCTATAGTATAGTGTGTCATGTCATGACATTGTGATGACATTTTCAATTTATTCCACTCTTATACAAGCAGATGATTCAATGCTGCTGAAATTAATAAGGTACTCTTCTAATATTGAATCATACTAGAGACAGTCTTAAGAAGCTGTTGGGAGCTAATTGTAGAAAGTGTCTTTTTTCCTACTCCAAATCCCTACCCCTGTTATTCCACTACTACTCTATTTTAATTGAAATAATATTTGTCCATTGAAAAAGAAATGGAAAATAGCTTGAAAAGGAGTTTCAGTTACAATAGATTTTTTTTTTTTGCAAGAAACTGATAAATTGAAAAGTAAATAATTGTAACAAGATATATAGACATTGAGCTTGAACCAAGCTGAACTTGAGCAATGAGAGTTGTAGCTGCTTTGTGGATTTTTCTTGGGTCCCGTTGGATGACCTCCACAAATGTGTAACATTTTTTCACCATGTACTGTGACTTGTCCCTTTTTGTTGATCCATTCCACCTGGCAGGATTAAGCATCAAGAAATATGTTGAAATGGAATTTCCTGTGTTGTACATCAGCTATAGGACTTTGTTCCAGTTAGATATTTACACAATTATTTTCTGTTTGTAAGCGTTGTTTCCTACTATGCTACACATTTCCTAAGCATTTCTTTCTGAGCTAGGCCAGGCATATAATGATCAGGCTGAAAATACCTAATCATATTTATAGACTCTATGAGTCATGGAAAGTGCTATATACTGACATTAAATCTCGTGGTATTTGCATGAAATGGTCCCTAGCTCTACAAAATCTTAATTAGCTTTATTTGTAAGCACACTATTAATTCTACTGCTTTCAATTGAAATTAAATCCTTGTGGGGGTTTGTGGTGTAATTACATGGCTAATCTAAGGCATGCACAAAGCTTTGCTAAAAGTTGGTAAGGGTTTTAAGGGTATATAATTGAACTTTTGTGCTGTAACAGTTTGTTTTGCTTTGTTTTGTTTTGATTCTTCCCAATTCTTCATGAGCCCCTGAGTGGCTTCTGCTTTCTCCTGTATTTCAAAGGCTCTCAAAGGCCTCCTGAGGTTCTGTATTCAGTCTTTGAGCTCTACCTGGTTGCCTGAAGTAAGGAACCAAGGCTCCCTCTTTAGCCCAGAGGGAGAGGCACGTTCCTGAGGCGCTCTCAGTCATGCTGGAAGGCCTCAGACAGAGGAGCTGAGGCTGCATTAAGCTGAACAGCTACAGTCAGTCTAAGCTACACATCCTGCAAAAATACCAGCTCAGGCCCCCAGAGCAGCACAGCTGTGTTGGCAGGACAGGATCCCAAAGTTCACAAGCCCTGAAGCTCAGAGTCAGGCTGACACAGTTTCCCTGTCTGGAGCAGGGTCAGGCAGTGCCAGGTCAGGACGCTGCGCTGTGCTCAGCACAAACGTGAAACCAGCAAAAGGCAGAAATCAGCCCGTGAAACTTGGAGCATCACACTGAGAGTTAATGTGGCTTTAGCTGGAATTACTGAGCTACAGCTTTTGGGGTCAGCAAGACCAACTTCACAAGGCTTAGCATGCTTTAAAGTGCATGAGCCTTTTCTGATTTCCTTTCACTCGCCTATCCTTGGATCATAAGGATGATAATTCGGTGGGGAAAAAAAAATCTTCCACTTCACTGCTGAAATTTTTGTTTTCCAAGCCCTTCAGGGCTTTGACACAAAGTTCTGAATACCAATCCCAGCAGTAAAATGACAACTGTTGTTTCACAGGGCCATGCAAAGTTTTTTCCCACCTTGTCCAGAGGCATTGCAGAAAGGATTTGTGGTGATACTGGAGACTATGAGTGGGAAGACAAAACTGTAACAAAAATTTAATTCACTTTACGAAGCAGAAAGTTAAAACCTTAGGTTGAATGAAAGACAATATGAAGGTGAAAGCTAAAAACTTTGCAGTTGTCTTCAGAATTTGTGCTGAGGATGTCAGCTAACTATTAAACTTGGAGAAGCACCATTACTGATGTTATATTATCAGCAGGAGATATCAAAGTCACTGCAAGGATAACAAAATGAGCTAGAAACAATTTATTAGAAAGCTATGAAGCAAACCTGCGCAGCTCAGTTACACAAACAGATTTCAGGAAGCATTTAATATTAAAATTCTGAAGTTTTGAACCAGATGTTTTGCAAGGGTTTAGTTTCAAGCTTCCCTAGGAACTTTAAAACAAAAAGGTTTTATTGCATGCAGACATGTAATATATCAGCTTTCAGCCTGCAACTGAAAGGAACAGGGTTCCTTCTGTGTGTTCATCTGGTTTGCTTAAGCATATTTTTGTCATTCAGCTTGTATCACCTAGTTAAAAGAGTGACTGATTATTGAACACAACTCCAGAATTTATTGAAACTGGGAGGACTGAGTCACCAGTTTGTGAGGTGCAGAACAACTCCTGAAGATGGTGGCTACACTAACCTGCTGGAGAGGGATTGGAGGCACTCAGGACAGGGCCTCCAATCAATGAAGAAACTGGAAATGGCTTTGTTGGGGAATAACCCTCTGCCTGGTAGCTTTTTCTGCTGCATTTAAAGTGGACCATGCTCCAGTGCCTATGGAACAGCAAGCCCAAAGAAGGATGTCTGAATGTAAAGCTTCCTCATGTAGTTGATAATCAGACACACTCAGTCCCCTTGCTTGCAGTAGCACAGAAGTGGATTC